GCTTGCAAAGCCCTGGATATGTCCCAAGCCACTAGCAGGTGCTGCTGGGGTGCTGAGGGACCTGCACCCTTCTGGGGCCATCCTGCTGCTAGCAGTGTGGTGATAAGGGTCCAGTCCCCTCCACAGAATCATAGAATCACAGATGGTTTGCATAGGATCATCTTAAGATCACCTAGTTCCAACCCCCTGCCATGGGGAGGGTCGCCTCACCCTAGATCATGTCGCCCAAGGCTCTGTCCAATCTGGCCCCAAACGCTGCCAGGGTGGAGCATTTACCACTTCTTTTTGCAACCTGTTCCAGTGCCTCACCACCCTCACAGTAAAGAACTTCTTCCTTATATCTAACCTGAACTTTCCCTGGTTAAGTTTTAACCCATTACCCCTTGTTCTATCACTACAGTCCTTGATGAAGAGTTCCTCCTCAGCATCCTTTTAGCCCCCTTCAGATACTAGAAGGCTGCTATGAGGTCTCCACGCAGCCTTCTCTTCTCTAGGCTGAACAGCCCCAACTTTCTCAGCCTGTTTTCCTACAGGAGGTACAGGAACTCACCTGGGTGAAAGCCCACCACCAGGTCAGGGCGAGCGGCCAGCTTGGTCTCCACGTGGCTTTCCCAAAAGTCATGGTAGAGCCCCTTATAGCTGCTGAGATAGACGCTTCCCCGGGGTGCCGGAGTGGCCAGGGGTGGCCTCATGATTGGTCCATCGACCACATCCACCCCCACCATCACCACCTCCATGCCGCGATGCCCCGGGAACATGCGTGTCAGCTCGTCGTAGTCTGTCAGCCGGGCGTTGAGGGTCTCCACGTGGGATGCTCCTACCACATGCACAGTGAGGGTCTTGGCAAGGGGCTCGAGGCTGAAGAGCCGCAGCCCCAGGCCGATGGTGAGCGGCCGCGAGTGGAAGTCGGTGACCAGGCGTCGGATGGATTCATGCAGCTCCCTGTCCTCTGGCCGAGGCTTCCCAGCATTGGCCCACAGCAGGGTCATGTACCGCCCTGCCAGGATGGCGCCCAGCTTCTCTTCCAGCTGCTCCTGCATGGAGAACCAGTCCTCCCAGCCCTCCACATCCCAGGGGGACTTTGTCCAGGTCTCTGTGGGAAAGGGGATGTCTCCTGGGGAGGACAGAGAGAAGCACTGGGGGTCACAATGGTGGCCCCACAGCCCAGGCTGCCTGTCCCACCAGACCCACAAGCCAGGAGGAGGGACTCCCCCATCCCTCCACAGGATTTGTGCAGCATGGTATGGGGGTCAGGCAGGCCTGGAGGGGTACACACAGTGTCCCCTGCCCCACCTGTGAAGACAAGCCACTCCACCAGCCGATCCAGGGCCACCAGCTTCAGCTTCTTGCAGAACTTCTTGTGCAGCGGCCAGTTGGCACGCTGGCACGCCACGCCACAGTAGTACACGTTCTGGCACCTGGGGACACAGGCAGCATGCCCGGACATGGCAGGGGAAAGGATTCTGCCTGCCAAACCAAGGCTCCCTGACACCCCTCCCAGAGCTGTGTCGCTGTGGTTTGGGGGATGCCCTGTAGCTGGAGGTGGGTGTTGGGACAACACACCCCTGGCTTCACCCTGCTTGGAAGCAAGGGGATGGATTCATCCCCATGCCATCAAACCACATCCCCTTGCCATCAAACCACATCCCCTTGCCATACCTCTTGCATCGCCGGAGACTTTTGGGGTCCGGGAGAGCACTGGGGAGCTTCCTGCACTCAGCACAGAACTTGAAGGTGTCCTCCATCTTCTGGAACATCTCAAAGTAAGTCCGGATGCCAAAATCACTGCCGCTTTTCCTCCCATCCATGGCAGACCTGCACATGTAGAGGGAGTGAGAAGGATCCAGCACAAGCTGCTCTGCCATCACAGTGAGGCCAATGTCCTCTCTCTAAGGTTACCAGGACTTCTAGCTCCAGCCAGGAGCATCCTGTCCCAGGATGGAGAACCGGGAATGGGCAGATGGAGGGGTGTACCCAGGAGGCCCATGAGAGCACCCACATACAGGCTGAGCCAGGAGGGTGGGATGAGCCAGGGAGATGTTCCAGCTGCGGGGACACACACGGGATGCTCTGTCCGTGGGGGGAAAACACGCACCCATGAGTGCTCACTCACTTGTAGTCCTCATAGCTCTTCATGTTGAGCTTCTGGAGGATGACGTGGGACAGCCCTGGCACATTGCGGTCCATGGCTTGGAAGCCCAGCGAGTCCACGTCGGGTGCCCTCGCCTCCGGCTCCTTCGCAGGATTCTTGGCGCGGTCGGGTTTGGGGGCAGCGCCTGCGTTTCTCTGGGTCACGGTGGTGGCTGTGGCAGACGGGGGTGCGGGTGCAGGGGCCGGTGCGAGGGTCCCCGGGTGCTGCCGTGGGGCCCCGCGCCTCCCGCTGCCCCCGCGCCGCCGGCCGCCCGCCATCCCGCTGCGCTCAAATGTCAGCCCCGAGGAGATAGCGAGCAGGAGAGCGCCTCGGCCCCTCCGGGATCGGGTAGCGCAGCTATTCTGGGCATCCCCTCCCCGGGAACCGGCCAACCCGAGCCGGGGGTCTGGCACCCGCCCCAACGCCACCGGGTCTGCCCGGAGCTGCTCCCACACTGCACCCAGGGGGTGGGTGCACAACCTCTGCGATCTGTCCCCAGTGCTCCCATGGGACCAGCCAATCCCCCGCCATGAGGCCCCTCCCCTTGGGCACCTTGGTGCAGTGTGAGCTGGGTGGGCACCATGGTGTGCGCCAAGCAGGGCTGGGGGGGCGGAGTGGGGCTGGGGCACAGCAGGCGTCGGGGGGGAACATGGTGCAAGTCCTACACCTGGATTGGTGCTATCCGACACACAGCTACAGGTTAGGCAGAGAAGTGATTAGGCCCTACCCTATTATTAGGGGCCCTCGTTCTACTATCCCGAAAGCAATCTTTCCATGCACCTTGAGTTTTTCCATTTCCCTGATAGTTTCTTTTCCCTAAGGCTGCAATGGTTGCATGAGTTATTGTTAAACTTAATTTTTGCCTTTCCTTACTGTCTCAGTTGCGGTACACCTTCCATGTTTCCTCAATCAGCTTTTTGATATCTCTCTGGTCCTCTGTTCTAAATTTTTGTAGTTTCTTTCTAGTATCATTTGAGGATTGTCCTAGAGAGATATCAGCTGCTGCTTTCCCTGGTCTCCGGAGGGGTCCGTGGTAGTATATTTTTGCATTGCTCCCGTAATCTGTCCAACAATTCTGTAGGAGTTTCACCTGTGTTTTGTTGGACAGCACATAAAGCTCCCCAATTCACAGACTTAGGAATTGCGTGCTCCAATCCAAATGCAATACATATTTCATACCTTTTGAGAAGTTGATAATGGTTGGGGTTATTATAATCCCATTGTGGTTTAGCTGCAGGGACATAATCGTCTGCATTTCTCTGCAACGTTTCTGCAGCGATTAATGCCTGAACGTGGTTTCTGGCAGCTTAAAGTACTAGTTCCATTTCAGTGCCTGTGATTGCATCTAACATCAAATCAATATCATCGTAATCCGGGTCTAGGGCTTTAGTGAAGGTTTTGAATATTTTTGCTGCTCCTGCAGGATCATCTCTATATGTCTTTGCTATCGATTTTCAACTTTCTAAGTCTCCCATAGAGAAATTAACCTTTAGTCTCATGGGTCCCTCAGGTCCTGCAGCTTCCCTAAGGGGGGCTTGTATCATGCCTTATATCACGCCCTTATCTTTTACTCTGGGTGAGGCAGATCGAGCCTGCAGCTTGGTTCATGTCCTCCTGCTCAGTGGTGAAAAGAGATGGCAGTTTTGTCTCCTTCCCCTCTCCTTTCACCACTCTATGCTCCGTAGAAGGTGGAGGAGTTGATGCTTTTTCCCTGGGGCTAGCAAAATCTTCTAACGTTTCTTCAGGCCCTTCTTCCCCCCCCCTCCATTTATATTTCAAGCACCTCTGGCCTATAGGGCACGATGAGCAACACCACTTCCATTTCCATACTCCATGCTTTTTATTCTCTTTCTAGAGTTAATACAAATGGGTCCTTGGGTGCTGTGTTTATCCCACTCTTTCTGCCACTCTGGATGTTCCCAGAGGGTGAAAACCACATCTGCATAAAAGACTTCATCCCACTTTCCTTCCCTTCGTAAGAAGGGCATCAATTCTAAGATTGTATCATAGTTTAAGGATCTGTTTTCTGGCCATTTTTCCCCCCCTCCCAATTTATACAACAGCCACCACTGGTTACAATATTTCATCAAGGTCATTTTGCTTGTGATTCCTCCTGGGAGAGCCCCAGTTTCCTCCCAGTGTTTTAAGACGCATCCCAGGGGACTTTTAAGCCTTGTATTTTAACTTTCCTGGTTTCCCATTTTTACTCGCCTTGCTGAATCCCCACCTTGCTTATATTTTACTTTGTTTTCTCCACCACCCCATACTTTAATTACTCACACAACCTATACTGTTCAGACCAAATTGTGCACCCTGTGCAGTAAAAAACCCATTTGAATTTTACCCAAAACCTTTTCGTTACACTGGGTATAACTTAGAACACAATCTGTCTCACATTCATTCCCAGGATGAAACAAACACACCTCAGTCTCAGGGTAATACATATTTTCCTTTTTGCTTTGTCCATTTCTGGCTGTTTCAGCTGCAGGAGAACACAACTACGGATCAGAACTTCGCACTCACTTCGTACTTGACTGTACATCTCACACATAAGTTCACATGGTCCCTGCCCGTGGCGGGGGAATAGGACTGGATGAGCTTTAAGGTCCCTTCAACCAAACCGAACCACTCTGTGACTCCGTTACCCCGCAGCACCTCCGCAGCCTGCCCACCTCCACCATGGCGGCAGCAGCGGCTTCACGGCCGAGCCCCATAAACACGTGGTGCAGTGCTGAGATCTCGCGAGACTTCACGGGAGCAGTGGCGTCGCCGTGGTTACCGGCGGACGCGGGGCCCTCCCGTTGAGGCAGGTACGCCGTGGCTCGCGCCCCGCCGCTGCCAGGTGTCGCGCCCCGGGCCGGTGCGGGGAGGGGAGGTGCGGCAGAGGCCGCGATCCCAGCCGTGAGCGCCCTGACGCTGTTGGTGGCGGCAGGACGGTGCGCTGAGGCGGTTGGCAGCGCCGGGGTGGAGGCTGGTACCGCTCATCTGTCTGGGGTGGCTGGAACTGGGGGGCGCGAGGCTGTGGGGTGCTGTGGGGTGCTGGGGTCACAGGAGTGCCCTCGGCCCAGCCGTGTCTCCAGAGGGTGGAAGTGCTGCAGACAGGCCCATGGGCGGGATGGAGCCAGGGCCTCGGGCTGCGGGAGCCCTGTGGGGCCGGTCAGGAGCTGAGGCCTTTGTCCCCACAGGCTCCACTGTCAGTCAAACGAGAATCACAGAATCCCAGACAGGTTTGGGTTGAAAGGACCTTAAAGCTCATCCAGTTCCAACCCCCTGCCACGGGCAGGGACACCTTCCACTAGACCAGGTTGCTCCAAGCCCCGTCCAACCTGGCCTTGAGCACTGCCAGGGATGGGGCAGCCACAGCTTCTCTGGGCACCCTGTGCCAGCGCCTCAGCACCCTCACAGGGAAGAGCGTCAGCCTAAGAGCTCATCTCAATCTCCCCTCTGGCAGGTTAAAGTTGCACTAGGGTGAGCTTGGCTGAAAGCAGCAGTCACACCAAGCCCTCCCCATGTGCAGGAGGAGCTGGGAGCTGCAGCTGGGTTCCTTTTACTTGAGCGGCATAATTTTGGCATTACATGTCCTCCCTATGCTCCTCGTTAGAGCTTCCTCACTGACAAAGCCCCGTGCTTTCAGTGGCTTTTTGACAGCCAAGCCTAGAATAATGCCAACAACCATGGCTGCTGAGCCCTGCACATGCTTCTGGGAGAGGAATTGAGCAGTTTTGTATTTCTTTTCCCCATTCGTTTTCCTGCAGAGCCATGGAGGTCTCAAAGGAGCTGTCTTCCAGAAAAGAGTCCACTGTATCTGTTCCCAGTGAGTCACAACCAACACCAGTACAGATCACAGTGCTGAAGGCGCAGGACCTGGTAAAGCTGTTCTGAAAATTGTTTAATAAACAAAGCTGGAGTGATGTGGTGTGCTGTGATCCTGTTTGAGAAGAGCTGCGAGGTGATAAGACTACTGGAAGGATTGGTGGGAATATCATGGATTCAGCTATGCCACACTGTGGCTTCCTCCTCCCCACTGAGGGCTTGTTTGCACAGAGTAAAGGCTTGTGATTCATGTAGGCTGGGGAATGCACCTCCTCAGCAATGCTCCAGAGATGGGTTGAAATCTCTCTCTCCGCCTTCTCCGCCTATCTCTGTGTAAATGGCAGCTTTTTAAAGCAAAACAGAGTGAAAAATGTGTATCAGTGAGAGAAATGCCTCTCCAAAGATCTCACTTTGGATGTAAATTTGGCTTTTCATCCCAGGTACAGCAGTTTATATCATGTTGAAACCAAGAGAGTGGCTCCAGTTTTTAAAAAACAGTGGCTCCAGGGCAGTTAGAGGGAAGACTGTGAGGTGGTTCTGATCAAACTATGACTCCTGCAATTTCCATGTGCAGCATGATGCACCCTGCTGGCCTTAAAGTCTTCTAGAGGAACTAGCATTTAGGAGGGAATGCAGAGGAGAAGCTCAGCTAGAAAATGCAAATCCCCACTTCTGCTCTAGCAGCAGGCAAAACCAGCAAACCAAAAGCAACTCCCTGGGTTGTGGTTTTGAGGTTTTTATACTGTAGTTTTTGAGCACCTCTCACACTGACAGATTCAGCAAACTGCGTCTTAGGTGAGAAGTATAAGGTATGAGGAGGAAAAACAATGCTAAAAAAGATAGACCCATGGATTAATTGAACCTGGAATGTTGCTTTGTGGTTTCTTATTGCTCCATCTTGAGAAATGGCTCTGGCAAAAGGAGGGAAGGTTACAAAAGTGTGATAGTAAGAACAACAATATGAGGGGAAAAAAAAAATCCAGCTGTAAGAAGTGTGTAATCTGCTTAATTGGAGGTAATGGAGATAAATATGAGAGAGGAGCCGAGGATAATTAATGGGACAGGGAAAGGTTAATTGGATTTTTCTGCTTAGCCATTCATAGAATGTATGCTCAAGGAGAGTGAGAAGGACTGAGAATTAAAACCAAGTGAATGAAATCTCCTTTTGTGCAAGACCCAATACGAACTCATTACCTCACCACCAACAACGGAGGGTGGAGATCAGGCATCCCTGTGGCTCAGGACTAAAGAAAAGCTGGGTTTGGGTATGACAGCCTCATGTTCAGGGTGGTGGCTGCTGCTCTCTGCATGGAGAAATAAGCCATGTTCCTCCTTGAAACTGAAACCTCCTCATCTCTACTTAAAGCAAGTGGTATGAAGGTGGTGTAGCAACATATGGCAGAGCTCCCCAGAGAGCTTGCTGGAGCCCTTCTGTCATTTCAGGCTGTTGGCAGCCATGTGATAGACACAAATGATCTCTCAGCTCAGCCGTGTGACTGAGGAGCCTACAAAAGTCTTGAGCTTCCTGGAAGCACAAAAATATCAGAATCAGCCAGAATCAGAGACTGGTTTGGGTTGGAAGGTGCCTTAAAGCTCATCCAGTCCCAACCCCCTCATCCATTAGAACAGGTGGCTCCAAGTCCCGTCTAACCTGCCCTTGAACACTGCCAGGGATGAGGCAGCCACAGCTTCTCTGCGTAACCTGTGCCAGCACCTCAGCACCCTCACAGGGAAGAATCTGTTCCTCATATCTAACCTAAATCTCCCTTGTTTAAGTTTGAGCCCATTACCCCTTCAGTGGGGTATTTTAGGATTTGCTTCAGCTGTGTCTTTCACTGCCTCTCTTGCAGTGAAGCCTGGACCTCTCTGCTGCCACAGATTTTGATAACCCCTGGGGTGTCACAGCATGGTGGAGCAGGAAAGTTCCCTCCTAAAAGACAGGGAAGGCTAAGCTCTGCTCCTGTTCCCCATCCCTGTAGGGAACAGCGAAAGACCCCACTGGAGAACCCTGTCCTGGGCACCGAAGTGAGCTGCCTAGCAGAGGCAACTTTGATCTTAGAGCTGTTGCCTCAGAGCCAGCTGCTTAATGTGCCTTTTCTTGACAGAAAACTCTCAAAAGCGATGTGTCAGTCACTTCAGTGTGCGTGGAGTACAACGGAGTGGTCCTGGGAGAGTCCTCCAGGACTAATGTCCTGCCAAATGGGACAGCAGACTACAATTTCACAACCAGCTTTGAGAGCAGCCCCAATGGGCCCAACTCCCTGGATGACATTGCACAAACCCCTGTGCTCTGTAAGTACCTGAATGTCCCTGGTTGGAGGTGGGAGTCACCAGCTGCCCTGCCCTGCTCTGCCTGCCTGCTGTGACTCTGCAGGAGTCACACATTAAGAATAGCACTGCAGTGGTGGCAGGGTCTCAGAGCTTCTGTCCCCATCTCTGCCAGCTGGAAGGGTCTCCTTTCATGTTGGCCTGTGCTCCTTGGCTTCACTATTCTTGTCAGCCTTGGGAGATGGAGTAGAAGCATATGCCAGAGCTGCCCTTTGCAGCCCCTGAACTGCTGGTCTGAAGCTGTCTGAGAAACTCTGCCACTTCCTCTCTTTTTCATCCCTCTAGTGACAGTGATAGAAATGTTGCAAAAGGACAAGAAACAAAAGGACAGGACTGCACCTCTTGGCCAAGCTGTGGTGGACCTTTTACCTCTGCTGCAAGGTACAACACTGACTTCCACAGCCTCTGTAACCATTTCTTAATCCCTGGCACTTTTGGATCTTTTCTTATGGATCCCTGGCAAAGGAATCGAATCATAGAATGATTAGGGTTGGAAAGGACCTTAAGACCAGTTCTAACCCCCTGCCATGGGCAGGGACGCCTCACACTAGACCATGTCACCCAAGGCTCTGTCCAGCCTGGCCAAGGATGGGGCTGCCAAGGATGGGGCATTTACCACTTCTCTGGTCAGTCTGTTCCAGAGCCTCACCACCCTAAGCACTTCCTTCCTTTTGACAAAATGCTCTTTGTAGCATTGGGGAAGATGGGGTGACATCAGTAGGCCATAATTTCCCTACAGAGGGTCTCACTCTGTGCTCTCTCATTCCTGTTTCTTTCCAGGACAGTGTTCATTTCACGTCACAGCTCCTTTACATGCAGTGCCTACCTCTCCATCAGAGAGCCTTCACCCAGAGGCCAAGGTATGTGAAATCTGGAACTGTTTCTTTGCTCCTTCAGCTCTCTGCTGCTTTTTAATGGGAAGATGAGCATGACTCAGCTCACCACGGATGTTACAAACTGTGTGTTACCAGCTTGGAGGCCTTTCCTTCTCCTCTTGACGTCTGTCTCTTGTTGCCTATGACAGGTGAATCGTGCTAGGAAATGTTAATGTGTGCAGCCACCAAATCACTCTGTAAAAAAACATTCAGGATGGAAAGCCCAGTGCTGAAAACCCAGAAAGAGAACAGCAGGATTAGCTGCCTGGCTTGATTAGTCTTCCTCTCTGTGGGTAAAATATCTCAGAGTCTGTTATTGTACCGGCTCTGACTGCCTTCCCCGCAAGGTCCTTTTTCATTCAGGTGGTTGAAAAGTACCTGGTGAATAAAGCATGAGATTCAGAAAAACCACCAGCAAATTGAAGGGGAGGGGATTGCACTAACTTCTCTGTATCTAAGAGGTGTTACACAGTATGTATGAGAGGGGCTCTCATTAGGGAGGAGAGATAATAAATGCTGAGCAGCTGAGTTTCGCTGCACACCATCTATTGGATTGGGACAGGTAATTAAGACTGAGATAGGGCAGAGTCAAATTGTGGCCCTGGCTCAGCATGCTCTGAATCACTGGGCGAAAAGTGATGTTCTTTTGCTGTGGCTCACTTTATGAGATCCCTGCACTCTTTCTCCCTGGCTCATTTTATGAGACCTGTGGAGCATGTGCCCTGCCTCGAGCAGGCTTCAATTTAACCAGACAAATCACCACAATTCAGACAAACCCATCGTGAAAGCTGGTCTGTTCTCTTTCATATTTGAGGTGAGGAAGAAGGCATTATACATTCTGGCCTTGGGTTTTTGCTGGCTTCTCCCTCAAGAGCAGGAGTGTTATAATTGTCAAGTTACTGGTTCTACTTTATCCTTGTTTCCTAGGGTGGCCTTGAAGTGACAGTGAGCACCAAAGAGCCTTTGCTTTCTGCCACACAGCTTTCAAACGGTAACTTCCTGAGCATCACACTGGAGGCAGCTTATTCTATCCCTGAAGCATTTGCTGCCACAGGGCCCCTGCAAAACTACATGGCTTGCTTGCAAGTACCAGCAGCTGGGGAGGTGAGGAACAGTCCTGGCACGTTGAAAGGGGTTTTGGCTGCTTCAACACTATGCAGCATAGAACAAGGCCGTGGGGTGTATAGCTCCTGTGCTTGTGCAACAGCAACCTTTGCTGTGGGTGCTTGGGGTCTCCGTGGTGTGATGTGTCAAACACAAAACAAGGTCTGCTCAGCAAGATTTGGATTGAAATGGCAGGTTCTTTTCCATGTGGCTGTTTGTTTGGCTTTTCTCCATTCTTTGTGTGTGGTGGAGTGGGTTTTCCAAGCCAGGCCCCTCCATTGCTGCTTTGCTTTGTTAGACCCAGCTTAGTGCAGCTGGCACTTGCTCCTGCTTGTGTTGGACATGCAAGTCCATTCATTCTCATGTTTCTCTAGAAAGAACTCCCCTTGCTCTTCAAGAATGGCATCCTGAAGCTTGCTGGTGAGAAAGAGCCATTACCCCGGCCCAAAAAGTGGCCCCTTGCTAACATCATGGCCCCTGGCGCTCTGAGCATACCGAACTCCTTCATTGTTGGTGGTCCCTATGAGGATGAGGATGGAGAGCTCAAAAATGGAGAGGTGAGGAAGGACTGGCAGTGTCATGGCTGGGAGAGAACCAGCCAGTCTCACTGAAAGGACTGAGGAAGACTTGCATAGACTTGTTACAGGAGGAAGCAGGTAGTCGGTGCTCTGCACAGTGTGCACACACACAGATGGGTCCCCTAGGACAGCAGAGGAGAGTTCTGAGGGACTATGGGGCAGGTCTGGTGCCCAGAAAGCCACCCAGCCCTCAGCTGCTGGGCTGAAAGTTGTGTTGTTTCCTTGTGAGCCAGGCTCCTAATATGAATGGGCTCTGGTGTCTGCAGGAAGGGCTGCTCGCTTACTCTGCTATGATGATGGTGATTTGGACTCCTCTGTCTGACTTCCATTCTCCCCCAGGGAACATTTTGGGAATGATGTAGATTGCTGTCTTGGCTCTGACCATGTGCTGTTTCTCACAGGACAGGGAATTTAGGATCCAAGCAGAAAGCATGAAGAGAGTTGTGTGGGACATGGAAAGTCGTTGTTACCTGGATCCTGCTGCAGTAGTCACGTAAGGGACCTGAGAGCTTCCCTTCCAGCATGGAGCAGTGGGGATAAACCACCCCAGAATGCACTCATCTGGGTAACCTAAGGCAGGGAACAGCAACATGCGGGTGCTCTCACACTTCTTACATGATCAAAATGTGGTTCTGCCTCACTTCCCATGGCTCCTGTAGCTCACTGTTGGCCAGAGGTGTTCACACAAGCAAGGGAACAGGTATATGCCTTTAACTGCTGGAGCAGCTTAGTTCTACAGTGGGAGATGAACTGCCTGTAGCTGCTGTCTCCAGCTCATGTTGCCAGCAACTGGAGGTGGTGACTGCTCCCTCTGCTTGAAGGAAAGGACAGCAGAGTTATGGAGGAGGGTGGCCCACACAGCTCTCCTCTGAGCTGCTAATTAAGTTTTGCTGAATTCCCTGTACATTAAAATCCTTTCACTCCGTGTAGGCACTCTTCATGTGCTTTTTTATTGGATGTTACCTTTAAAGCTCTAGACATGCTCAACATCAAGATGAGCATCCCATTCCTCTTTGAATCTTGCTTTGTTCTTGGCCTCAGCTGCATCGTCGCTGTGAGTTTCACAGCCAAATTAGTCCTCATGTGGAAATATTCCCTTCTATCTGGTTTGCTATTTAATTCTTTTCCCCCTATACTTTCATCAGCCTGCCTGCTGATTTCAGAGTTACCAAGCACATTGAATGGGAGCTCAGGGTCTGCCTGCTCTGAGCAATTCAGGATTTATACCAAAGTTCATCATGTTCCTTTGCATTCATTTCATTTCTGAAGTAGCCAGGGGAGAGAAGAAACCCAGCCTGTTAATCTTATGATTGTTTTATAGCTGCTTGTGCCATAAATGCACACAGTGGTGGATGGAGAAGAAAATGTCCCGAGCTTGCCCCAGAACACATATGTTCCAGTCGCCAGAGGGTGTTTCCTGTGTCCCATGCGAGTGGGTGGGAGCAAACCCAAGGGGGGATGTTTTGGGGCAGAAAGGAGGGTGGTGTGGCTCTCCAGCTTTGTTTCTGCCTCTTCTCAGTGCCCTTCTTTGTGTTCAGTCTGCAGAAGCGCATTGCAGAGTGCCAGTACTGGCCCGTGGAGGTCTGCAGGGTATCTGCAGCCTTACCCAGCAAAGGGAAAACCAGCAAAGCTGACAAGGTAAAGTGGGAAGGGATGTGTTGTTCTGGCTTGTGGAGCAGCATTGTGCGATTGAGTATTTTCCTTTCAATGTCTTTGTAATACCAAAACCAGCCTTGAACCAGGCAAAGCGAGTCAGAGAGCTACAGGCTTTGTGAAGGGATTAATCAGCCTTACAGAGCTGTTAAATAGACAAAGGATCATATTTTTTCCTTATAGCATACAGAGCTCTGGCTGATGGTCTTTGGCAGCCCAGTGGGAAGGGGTCAGGGAGAGGGAGCTTTCTGGGAATTAAGGTAATTCACTGGAGCTGATGGGGTTGGAACATCTTGAAGAAATTCATGCCTGCTCTCTTGGGTGTAAATAAATTATGCTTTTGCACAAAAATTGGGGTGGGTTAACAAAGAAACAGCCCCTCAGCTAATGGTTCTGTTCATGGCAGCTGGTTATATGAGGGGTCCTAACCTGTTCCAAGGCAAAGTCATTTAAGTTTGTCTAAACCCCTTTCAGCACTCACTGGTGCCAGAATGGAGACCCTTGTCACTTACCCTCACCAGTCTGCTGCTACCCCAGACACTCAGACCTCCTTAGCATTCCTATCAGGGATGCACACCTCTGATAGGGTTACTTGGATTTCTAACCCCAGAGTTGATAATCTTACAGCTGTATCTCAAAAAGACCACCCTGAGGAATGGCATGAGAAAGAAAAGCTGCCCTGCATGCACTGGGATTGAATTGATATTTTACATATTGAATGACTCCAGTGTATTTGGCCAGGTCGTCTTGGCTGTGTGCCAGCGACAAAGAGCCACTGGCTCATCGGTGCAGCAGTTTGCTCTGTGGGCTCTTCTTAATGGGATCAGTGGCCTTGTTTCCTTACAGAGAATCACAGTCCACTCAGTGTCTCAGTCCCTTGCTCTATGTTTCCAGGGAGATGAGGAAAAGAAGATTTCCTTCCATGGTGTGGCATATGTCAACATGACGCCTTTGCTCTGCCCTGGTGTGAAGCAGATCAGAGGTGCTTTTCGTGTCTGTGCCTACCAAGACAGCAAAGTGTTTGAGAAGGTGAGAGCAGACCAGACAGCCAGGCTCAGCCCCAGCTCTGAAGTTGGGTTTGCACATAGTGGGGTTGGGAGCAGGCAGCACAGGCAGTGTGGTGTTTGGGAGCAGGCACATGGGCAGTGGGTACTCAGAGGCTGACTCTGAAACTTCATTGCCCTTCTGATCATGGAGAAAAATAATAAGCTTTTAGGTGAAGAATCCTCAAAGGCAGGGGATTTCTGGGCATGCATGGGCAGGTTTGGAGGCTGGGAGAGGCTCTGAATCTCACTCCACTCTTTTCTCTGCCAGCAGCTGAGCAGGAAGAGCTGTAAGAATGCTTCTCTCTCCCCAGTCTGGAACATGGGCGAATGAACTGTGCTGCTGGGCAAAGCAAACAGTGGCTCTAAAAGGATGGTGTTACCCCAGGCAACAGCCAAAAAAAGCTGTCACTGGAGCTCTTTCAGCTATAGCTCATGGAGGTTTATTTGTCTTTGCCTTTCTTCCACCTCTGTTCCTAAGAGTGACAGCTGCATCTCTGTTTTTCCCCCAGCACTCCTAGACCAGACCTGAGCTTGTTTCAGGAGGGCAGATGCACAGGCCTGGTTTTTCTGCCTACATTCCCTGGAGTGCTGCTGTCCAGGCCACAGGAGCTGGGTGAATTACAGCCTTTCTCTCTGCCTCCACTGCTGGCTGTGGCAAAGCAGAGCTTAGCACACAGCTTTCTGCTGGTCTCTGCTTCATCCATGTGAACAATGGCCTTGTGGCTGCATTGTTCTAATTGTCCTGGAGCATTTATCTGTCACAGTGAAGTGACACTCTGTCACTCTCATCTTCTGGTTTTGTGGATGCTTTAGGCTGCTCCTTGGGTCTAGGCGGTCTTGGTGCAGCTGCTCCATCTTCTTCCCGGGAAGCTCTTGCTAGTCCAGTTCACATAACAGTGATGGCTGGGAGGGAGCAGCTTGTCTGTGATCAAACAGTGTGTAAACAATCTGCCAAACCTGCTCCTTGACATGTGTCAGGGAAGCTGCTCCATGCCAGAAGGTGAGGTAGGAGCTGAGAATCATTGCAAGGCTGGTTGGGGCACCCAAAATGTTACAAAGCAGACCTGAGTAGTGTAGTCACATTCATCCAACAGTCTACACCATCAGGCAGGTCCATAGCTGTGAGGCAGGTCCAGGTTCAGGTGAGGAATTCAGGCCAGCAGATCAGGATCAGGGCAGCCCAGGGCTGGGTTCCAGCCTATCTAACACATAGCTCAAACAAGAATCAAGTGCCTGTGCTCAGTGGAAATGCAGCTCTTGAGAGAAGTCAGAGAGCGCCTACAGAGATGTTCTCAGGAAGCTCGTTTCATAGTCTGACCTGAGGCTTCACAGCTATATGGTATCAGAGCTGGCCCTGAGCATCACAGCTGAACTAGGAGTGGAGGTTGAGCTTCTGTAGCTTCTTAATGCATTTAGGACACTGACAATGTGTTTTGTGATGTGAGAGGTTAAGGCAAAGGGGTGGGGAAGCCCTAGTCTGGTCCTTGAATCTCTGTTCCTTCTGGTTTTGCAGACCAAAAGCCAGCACAGCATTTTCCAGGATCTTAGGGGGCAGCTCAGTGTGACGCGGATGGGCTCAGGGACCTTAGGAATTGGTGCTCCTCTTGACCGAGCTGCTCCCAACAAGACTCAGAAGGAAGACAAAGAGAAAAGCACCAACAAGAAGGTAAGGTCTAGAGAGGCACACTGCAACACGGTTGCTCCATTTCCTCATCAGAGGTAGCTGGAGGAACCAGGGACTGATGCTGGGGTGCCTCAGCCAACTGAGAGATTATCTTTGGGAGATAGTGTTATCAGTACCTGCTGCCTGAAATGTCCAACTCACACCCTGGACATGCGAAAGTGTGAGGCTTTTTACATCTCAAACAAGACACATCTTTTCTTCTTCTTCAACAGATGTCCCACATGCCCAAATTCCAGTTGCCAAATGGCACTGGGGAAGCAGAAAATGCCATGCATCTTAACCTTGAAGGACAGGTAATTATGCACCTCCAAAGAGAGGACTTGCCAGACCATCACCGTACTGGTGTCTCACACCTTGCATGCAGTTAAATTCTTCAAGAGTGAGCTGGACAAGGAATGTTTTACGTTAGTGCTGTCCTGGAGTCCTCCCAGTGACGTCCAGCTGGAGGGCAGTCTAGCACTGGGCTAGAAGGTCTCTCTAAATTTAAAAGGGTTCCTTCAAATTTTGACTTATTCCTCAGAACATTGAGAATGCAGATTCATTCTGCAAGCAGATTGATTATCTGGGCCTCCTCATTTTCCTAAACTGGCTTCTTGAGCTGAATTTTGCTTCAATCAATCATTCTGAGGTTATAAAACAAGCTGTATCTGCAGCTTGAAGGGGATTTGCTGAAGATCTGTAGCTATATGCTCAGTCTTCCATCATACTGTAATGGCTCTAGACAGCATGACACTGAGACAGCAATATTTATCTTTATAGCAATATGTTGAAGCAGGAACATTCCTGGTGATGGAGATAAAGCTGTACAAGGCCTTGGTACCAAGAAGACTGCGAGAGGAGCTCACCAAACAGTGCGTAAAGCCCTGCTGTGATGCTGGGGCTGACAGCTCCTTTCTGCAGGGTAGAAACAGGGCTGCACAGCAAGCTTCCCCTAGGAGTGCTCCATACAGACCATGAGAGGGCCTGAGCCAAAGCCCACTGGAATCAGGGGGAGGATTTGGCCAGACTCCTTAAGTGGTGGTATGTGGTGTGTTGGGAAAACACTTATGTTCATCCCAGCTGGCATCTCCCTCCTATTCCTCTCAAAAAGAGAGATACCAGAGAAGCACAACAGTGCCTGTGTTCCCATCGGGGCTTTGTTTCCCACTAGTCCCTGTGTGCTTGCCTCTTGCATGTGCTGCTCCGTCAGGACTGGCCACCAGTGTGGACTCCCCTGAGTAGCACTGCTCTAACTTCCCCATAGCATTCTATCTTTTGCTTTTTACCTTTACAGGATTTCCCCCCCCCCCGTCTTCTACCCATTCCTCAGCTCTTCTGTTAGTTTTCAAGTTGAACCACTGCAGAGCTGCTCTCATCTCTGCTGCTTTGGTTCAAACCCTATCTGTCTGATTTGAGGCAGTTTCTTCCTCTCCAGTGGTAGCCCTGCTGTGTTTCAGTTTAGAAAAGATCTAGCATGTATCATTTTATTGACTAAAACAGAGAAAATGCAGCAAATGAATGAAGTATGACAAGTGCAGGTGGTATGTCTCTCTCAAACAGAAAGCAGCAGCCATTCCTTGCAAAGAAAGTGTGAGTGCCATCTTCTGTGCTGCCTGCTCTCTCCTAGGAAGAACAGGTTGAAGAAGGTGAACCTCTGTAGAACCTTCTCCTGGCCCTTTTTATACCATTTCTACCCAACTGGAACTTGCTTGAATTCAGTGTAATTCCTCCACGTTGGCCTGCCATGAAAAAAATCTACCCTCCTGAGTCATGGGAAGGGCTCCGAATCTTGGGGAGCTCCAGCAGATGCCACATATATATGTCCTTGAAGAGGAGATCAGCAGATCTTTTTGGGGGAAGGGCATTTAAATACATGACTTAGTAGAAAAGCATGGCTCTCTTTCTTGGGCCCCACCCAAAATCCTCTGTCAGCCTCTTGCAATTTGCTTTGCTAGCTGGGCAGGAGCCATCACACCTTTGCTTGGTGGGCTGGATTGTGTCCTAAGGACTGAAGGTGTTTTGGCTATCAGCAAGCAGGAAATCTTGATTAAAATCTCAATGAATTAACACTGTTTTGACACCAAGGGTTTTAATAAGTTTTCGGTAAAAGTTCTGGTAATCCCCATGGGGTTTTGATGAGTATTTGAAAGGTTGGTGTAACTCTAACTGTAGTAGTGGTACAGCCAGGGTTGGGATAGTGCCAAGGGGTCAATGCCTGCCATAACCACACAACGACGTGTTGAGAATTGCTGGAGTGGTGGCCTGGGCCATAGAGTGAGAACGTTCTACAGGGTGATTTCTTCTGTCCTCTCACTGACAGGGTCAAGCAAATGATTCCTCCTCGCCCTCCGCTGCCTCCCTGGACTTCAGGAGCCCAGAAGGTACATGCAGGAGCCTGTGGCCTTGCCTCTGCCACCTCTTCTTGCCCTCATACCTCTCACACAGAACCTTCATTCTCAATCTTAGCTCCACAGCAATATGAGGTTTGACGAGGAAATACACAGAAAGGAAACTTCTGGATGTGTTATCCTTGCAGTAGTATGCCTTAGGAAAACATTCCTGGGCTGCATCATTCATGTTCGCAGCCCATACGAAGTGGAGAGATGTAGCAAGAGCAGGGAAGGCAGCAGTGGGGGTGTTTGGAAGGAAACAGGATGCTGGAGAAAGAGGCTACTGAAACCTTCAATCATAAAATCAACTAGGTTGGAAAAGATCATCAAGTCCAACCATTTCCCCAGCACTGCCAAGGCCACCACTGAACCATGTCACTGAAGGCCTTGTCTACATGGTTTGTGAACACTTCCAGGGATGGCAACTCCACCACTGCCCTGGGCAGCCTGTTCCAGTGCCTGAGCACCCTTTGGGGAAGGAATTGCTCCTAATATCCAGTCTAAACCTCCCCTGGCACAGCTTGAGGCCATTTCCTATTGTCCTACCCCTTGTTTCTTGGAAGAAGAGACTGACTGCCACCTCACTGTGACCTTCTTTCAGGAGGCAAACCTTAGATTTACCCCAGGCAGTCCCAGCAGTTTCTTGTCTCAGATTAGCCCATGTGCTTCCTCAGACCCAGACAAACATGAACAGAATCAGCCCTGAGCACTCTCAGGTCACCAGAATATCTGAGGACCTTTGTGTGACGCATCCTCAGGAAATGATCTGACAGCGCTGGCTCATCTGTGCGCACAGAGCAGCCATCAAAGGAGAAAGTCCCCAGGTAGCCCCTGGACAATGGTGAATTCAATGCACAGCGAGGAAGAAGCAGCACTGCAGTGACTGGCCCCAGTGCTGCTGCAGAACTGATTTGTGCTGGACTGTCTGGAGTGCTTCCAGTGCTATATTTTGATTGTCACAGCACATGGAAGCTTCTGCCACTGAGAGTATGGAGATTAGACACTGCTGAAGAGGGCTGCCCATGGGTTTAAAAGGCTTCCAGAAAATGTTTTTCTTACAGCCAATTTTACTGCTATAGAAGAGACACCAATGACTGAAATACTGGGTTCTGATGGAAAAGTATAGCAGAAGCAGTATCTAATTATGAAGGAGCTCTTTTGTATTTACACATAGATGTATTCACAGCCCTCTGGCATGGACAGGAAGGGATGAGTGACAGACTAACTGGGACTTGCCTCAGGTGGAGTTCGTGGGAGGTGAAATTAAATCCATTTCAAGGTTGATGGCATGAGTGCCTTGTGAAGGGTGATTGTTTCTTTATTTGTTCGTAGGCTGTGGAAGATTATCACCACCACATCAGGAGCATTGCTGCTGCCATCCTAAATGAATGCCATGAGCTCTTTGGGAAGCAGCTGCCTGACCAGACAACGACAGACCACCAAACCCTGGAGGAACAGAAGCGTCAGCTCAACTTTGAGCTGAACAGCTCTGGCAAATATTTTGCTTTTAAGGAACAGCTAAAGGTAAAGAGTCCATTTGTGCTTTTCACTTCTCTAGTTGTTTTCTCCTGGCAGTTTTTCAGTGAGTAACTGCTGCTCCATGATGTGTGGCTCCAGAACCCATCCTGCCAGCTGAGGCTGTTGCAGGGCATGGTTGGGGGGACAGGTTCTCCTTCTAATGGAGCAGGCAAAGCTGCTTTGATCACACACCAGAAGAATCATTCCTGTCAATGGTGGGAGACTCCAAAGCTGGTCATATCCATTTGCCCCATGCTAATAGCCTGAGGAAGGCAAAACCTACTCTTACACACTCACAGTCTGCCCTGGCAGAAAAAAGGGGTTCCCCTGTCATCTGGTCAGCCTTGGCCGTGCTCTGCCTGGGGACCCCTTCTGTGTGTCAAGGGGACGAGCCTTCCCACATGTTGTTCCTAAAGGGGCACCAGTGTGTCAGGGAGAGCCAGGGGTAGGAGGTGAGAAAGGAGGTCACCCGTGCTTGCTTTTATCAGTTCTAGGCTGGAATTCTTCCTCAGAACAAAGCTGGAGCTTCAGACACAACCAGTGTGTTGTGGCTCTGCATGATTGCAGAGTTGGAGGGGGGGCACAGGGGGACCAGTCTTGTCCAAGAGTCTCATGTCTCCACAGTATGCTGTAGTGAAGATTGTGAGGGAGAAATACCTGAAGACCATGGCATTTGAGAGCCAGGAGCAATTCCAGGCGTTCCTCAGTGAGCTCTACGTATACCTCATGGACCAGATGCACATGGCCCTGAACCAGGTAGGGAGAAAGCTGGGATACGACTTCACTGTGGATCCACGGCTAGACACTGCATCTAGTGAAAGCCAGGGGACTTTTGCCTTCAAGACAAACACAGGCTCATGCTTTCCTTAGTTGCAGTTATCACGTGGGCCTCAAGCCACATTCAGAGGCAGGGGAGGTTGAGATGAGCTCTTAGGCAGAAGTTTTTCCGTGTGAGGGTGCTGAGGCGCTGGCACAGGGTGCCCAGAGAAGCTGTGGCTGCCCCATCACTGGCAGTGTTCAAGGTAAGGTTGGATGGGGCTTGGAGCAACCTGGTCTAGTGGAAGGTGTCCCTGCCCATGGCAGGGGGTTGGAACTGGATGAGCTTTAAGGTCTCTTCCAACCCAACCAGTCTGGGATTCTGTCATGATTCTATGAGTTGCAAGTAGTGGATATTTGCTGTCTCTGTGTAGCAGATGTACCTGGGAATGACAGAATGTGTCCCACCACAGGACAGGACATCTTGCCATTCAGCCCCAGCCATATCAGGCTGTACTCGGTGTAGTGCCAGACTGGGGACTGCTGCTGTACTGGGATGAACCATTCTCACCCTCTCCAGGGTAACACTGTCTCACTCCTTCCAGATGCTGTTTGAGGAAGCTGCTCCTTCTGCCCCTCCATCCCAAGTGACCCAGAAGCAGCTCTGGCTCTTTGCTCATGAGGCTCAAGTTATCAAGGACTATAAACTGGCATCTCTCTACCACCAGCAGGTAAAGGAGCCCCTGTTCTTTCCTGATCATCTCCCACGTGTCTGGGCTGGCAGCCAGTGTGGGGCCTGTGCTGCTGACAGGCCTGACTTGTGCAGGGAAAAAGGAGGAGAATGTGACCAGGATACTCAGTCTGAACGTGTGTGAGGGATTTTCTAGGGAGATGCTGCTCTCTGGAGGATGTGAGACAGGGCCTGGCCAGGTCACTGAGGGTGTCAGCCTCGAGGCCAGGGCAAATGGGGTGAGCTGCTCCAAAAGGCACGCAGTGTCAGTACTCGGGACACTGGGCCCTCAACAGGAAGCTAGGAGGATGTCAACTGAAGTTGGAGGATGTGTGTTAGGTGAAGGAAGTTTAGAGGAAGCCCAGCACAATCCCAGTTAAGGGAAATCCTAGCATGTGATGTAGATGAGGGTTTGGTTGTTGCTAAACTGGGCTGGGGTATCCAGAAGAAAGCTGTGGTCACTCCAATATTGTTTCCAGTCGGGTGTGTGCTCTGAGCACAACTGCAGCACTCCTCACTCCAGCAATAGTTTTTTTGTCTAGAGGATAGCTAAGGACCAGTACAACATCGAGTGCTGGCTGGACTATGGGGCATTCTGCCTCCTGCTCGAGGAAACAACCAAAGCCCATGAGTGCTTCCAGCAGGCTCTTTCTCTGGATCGCAATCACATCCGGAGGTGCTGTGTGCTCCTGGTGGGTGGCCGGGTGGGTGAGGGTGTCCTGCAAGGCTAACCTGCCTGTCCCTGTTCCCAGTTTGCTGCTGTGTGGGATTACAGCTGCCATGCTGCAGCACGATGAAGAGGCAGAGGTTTTATTTGAGGATGCCTGCTGCTTGGAGCCATCCAGTGTGGTGGCCTGGACACTTTCAGGTACAAAACCAAGCAGCCTGTGTGCTCAAGGCATTCCTCTAAAGCCAAGTATTGCTGCTGCTCCCTTCTCTAATCTAAGGGCTAAGGGAAGGATTTTGCTAAGGCTGGATGTCTGCTTGCAGTTCTCTTTCTGTCTCACATAGGTTTGTTTTACGAGCTGCAGGATAATAATATTCAGGCAGAAATGGCCTTCCGTGAGGCTAAAAAGCTCTTGCAAGCACAGCTTGCCAAGGAGAGGAGCATCCCTGAGGCTGCTGAGGGAGAAGGAGGTAAAAAAAAAAACATTTCTGCTGGGTGTATGAGGTCTCACAGCCCAGGCCCAGAAGACCACTTGCCAGGTAATGCTGGGTGAAACCAGGAGGTGCCCCAGCAGTGGGGGCTCAGAGCAGTGAGGTAGATGGTGAACAGTAGAAGGGGATGAGACACTTCTAAGTATTTCTAAGAGAAGAAATAGATTTATAGAATGGTTTGGGCTGGAAGGGATCTTCAAAGCTCATCTAGTCTAACCCCCCTGCAGTGAGCAGGGACATCTTCAACTACATCAGGTTGCCCATAACCACATCCAGCCTGGCCTTGGATGTCTCCAGAGATGGGGCATCCACCACCTTTCTGGGCAACTTGTGCCACTGTTTTCCCACCCTCGTTGTAAAGAGTTTCTTTCCCATATCCAGCCTGAATCTCCCTCTTTTAGTTTAAAACCATTGCCATGATACAAAGGCTAAGGGAAGATGTGGTCTGTGAGCTACAGTAGACCACAACTTCACCAGTGAGAAATAACAGCACAAGTGTGCTGCTTCAAATGTTGAAGCTTCTTGAAAGCAGCACAGCCCATGCCTTGTCTTACCCATAACCTACTAAAGAGACCAGTCTTTGAACTTATTTTCCTGCCCCAGACCAGTGCCACTGATAAACTGAAGTGTGCAAAGCAGCCAGAGTGCTTGGAGGAGTGTAGCTCTGGAGGCTTTGGGAGGGCAGAGATGCCCAGATGCCCCTGTGCCAGTTGTACATGACACTCACCCAGGTTTAGCTTTAACCAAAGCTGTTGCTGTGACTTCCCAATGCAGCTTGGAAATTACTGCCTCATCAATTCAATGGACAAACCAGCTGCTGGGTAGTGATCCTGAACATTAGGCTTCCTCTGGAACCCCACTGAGTCCAGCCTAACTTTGAGTCAAGACTTGCTGTCCCAAGGCCCAGATATGTGGCCAGGCTGCAGGAAATGTTTATTTTTACTGTTATTACCACTCCATGCCCAGTGCCTCATGTCATTTGCCTTTTTTTTTCCCCCTTCTCATTATGAGGAAAGAGATATTCATAGAATCCCAGACTGGTTTTGGTCGGAAGGGACCGTAAAGCTCATCCAGTTCCAGCCCCCTGCCATGGGCAGGGACACCTTCCACTAAAACAGGTTACTTCAGGCCCCATCCAACCTGGCCTTGGACACTGCCAGGGATGGGGCAGCCACAGCTTCTCAGGGCAACCTGTGCTAGGGCCAACCTGTTCCAATTCCATATTGCCTTATTTATACCTGTTTCTACCTTCACAAGGTAATGTTGTACTCAAAACACTAGACTCTCCTACAAAGAAACTTCTTCCCAGTTCTGAATATCTTGTAGATCTTTTATATTTTCTGCAGAATCATAGAATCATAGAATGCTCCAAACTGGGCAGTTTATGGCAAACTGCATCTAATAGCTGTTGGGGGTTTCATTCCAGAGAAGGTTCCAGATGGTTCTGCTGACAAACTGACAAAGGTGGCGGAGCCTGCCCTGGCTTGTGGGACACCCAAGGAAGAGGCGACAGCACCAGAGGCAGCCCCAAAAGGTATGGAGATGAAGGAGAGTACCTTGGGAGCACTGAGCTGTGGCTCTCCTGATGCCAAGTCAAGATATCATGGCTTGTTCTCTCTCCCTAGCTGGGAATCTCCAGACAAAGTAGGTTCATTCTGATTTTCAGAGCAGCACATCTCAGGAGGGACAGCCAGTGGGTGAACACAGCTCTCTCCCTACATGTCAGTGCACCCAGTGGCCTTTATTGGCTACTTAGATGTCTCCCTCCTTAGATGCCAGCTCTTAAACTGTCCCTGTGGATCTCCCCTGGTCATGTGTTGTGGGATTTGCCTCCTCTACAACTCCACTTTCTCAGGGGTGGCAAAGAGATGGCAGCACTGGGTGCTTTGGGTCCCATTGGGTTGGTCTGAGGGGGCAGGGGCCTCATAGTAGTTAACTCTGAGAAGCCTCACTCATAAATTCCTACCTTTTCTTCTTCTGAGCTTGGACTGGAAAGTTACTGGGTCTAGAGCATCATTTCTTTTCACATCTCTCACAAAACTTAAACCCTTCAGACAGGAACACTGAGTTAATCCCTGCTTCAGCCCTTCCTGCCACCTCCTGGGTTTCACACTCTGTTGCTGGGATTCCTCTGTCCCTGCCAGGGTCTCAGGCCCTGCTCTGGCTTCTGAAACACAACTCCCCCCCCCTCCCCCCCCCCCCCCCCTTCCCGGAACTGACAGGGACACGTCTTCTTGCAGCACCGTCCCCTGCTTCAGGACTTGGACAACCTCCCTGCACGATCTTCAAGAAGACAGTAGAATTCCTGATGAAAGCCAATGCTGTCCAGGTCAGCTCAATGTGGAATGGAGGAGTAGGAAGGGAGGTTTGGTCTTCTTCCAAAGAGCTGGTGGCAAGCTCCAGCAAACCCCCTTCTTGGGCATGGAGAACAAGCTGTGGCTACTCCTAATGCTGAGGGAAAGAGGGAGCAAACCGACCCAGAAATGCAAACCCATTCAGCCCAAAATGCTGGTGGTGGACGTGGTCCCCTCAGGTAGGTTCTTGGGGTGCTCAGCTCAGCACTGCTTGCTGCTGAGGGAGCAGCCAAGTCAGAAGTGGTGAGATGCGTTAGTGTGATGCTTCCAAGACTCCTTCCTTGTTTCAGACACTTGTGTATGTCAGAGTAAGTTTTGTGTCACCTGTGGAGTGTCCCTCTCCCACACAGCCGGCTCTGTGGGATCTCTCTGACTGCCATGTGATGCTGCCTGCCTTAATTTTACATGGCAGAAAGAGTTGCTTAAAGCAAACCAGAACTAGAAGTAATGCAGTTAAATATTTAAAGAAAGGATAAAGAAAGAAATCTCCTGCGTGTTTTGTGTTCATGGAAGTCAAATAAGTGCGAGTCAGCCCTCCTGCCATGTCCTGCTGGGGTGCCCATGGTTTGCCTGCTCTCTTAACATGATGGGTGTCCTTCTTTCACAGTTTGTTCACAAGGCCCTTGCCCACGAGCTGCTGAGCCTCCAGGGAGGTCCCTCCAGTGGGTACTATTTGGCGCTGGCCCAGACTTACTTGCTGAAAGAGGAACTCTCCAAATGTGAAGAATGTCTCTGTGAGGCTGTTAGGATTGACTGCATGGTAACCCAGTGTGTGATCACTTGCCTCCTGTCCTCTCCCACATAGACAGGCAGCATTTCTGAGTGGGGATGCCTCTCCCTGTAGCATCTGCCTTTCTTTTCCCTTTGAATGCGTACAGCCTCTTTCTATCAGTGGGTCAGGCTCTGTTTCGTGAGGAACAAGGTTGCTATTCAACAGTGGGAAAGTGGCTTTGGGGAGTCACATTGAATGGAAGGCAGGTTGAATGGAAGGCAGGGGGAAGCTTACAATCCTGAATGCAGTTTGCACATTCACCATCCCTGGGGAGCCTGGCATGACCAGGACACTGTGCAGGGAACGTCTGGAGGGGGCTCCCATTGCTGGTGTCATGCAGGCAGCTGCTGATTTGGTTTTAACTCTGTACATAGAAATCTGCCCTGCTGTAATTAAACACTGCTCAGCTCTTCCTTTCTGCTGCTGACAGGGTCCCTGCCCCTCTCCCAGTCTCCCTCCCTCTCTTCTCCCAGCCACATCTCACTCCTGGCTTTGTGTGCACAGAATCCAAATGTCTGGGCTCAGAAAGGGCACCTCTGCTACCTGAAGAAAGACTTTGGTGAGGCAAAGGAGTGCTATGAGCGAACCATGGGGTTTATGGAGGATGCTGAGGATATGCACTTCGTCTACCTGCGCCTGGGTTCCATCTACCTGGAGGAGAAATTGGTGAGGAGCCAGCAGGAGTGGCAAAAGGGAATCTGTCACAAAGCAGAAGATACCAGACCATGGGTATGAAACACCATGAGCTGTTGCCATAGCCAACATACCACAAGCCAGCAAATCCTTCTGGAGTGCTGTGTTCCTTTGTGCCAGCTCTACATCCCAGTTGCAACATCTCTGGGTGCTGCTGAGCCATTTCTCATCATCCCAGACACCAATTGACTGTACCAGTACCTGCCAGCACAGAGTCACTACAGCAGGGGCAGCAGGCAGGCTCCACGCCCCCCAGTGGGAACAGTGGGGGTCTAAACCCCACCAGAGATGGGAATTAGGTGTTTGGCAATTCATAGAAACCCAGACTGGTTTGGGTTGGAAGGGACTTTAAAGCTCATCCAGTTCCAACCCCCTGCCACGGGCAGGGACACCTTCCACTAGACCAGGTTGCTCCAAGCCCCGTCCAACCTGGCTTTGAACACTGCCAGGGGTGGGGCAGCCACAGCTTCTCTGGGCAACCTGTGCTCCAGAGACCCTCAGCACCCTCACAGTAAAGAACTTCTGCCTTTCTGCCTTACATGTAACCTGAACTTCCCCTGCTTAAGTTTGAACCCATTCCTGAGAAAGAGGGTGCTGTCTGCAGCGATGTGTTTGCTGCAGAGTAACGTGCTCGTGTACCTTTTGTGGCAGTACGGCCGGGCAAAGAAGATCTACCTGCTTGCCTGCGACAACTCCGCATCCTGCCTCACCTGGCTGGGGGTGGGAATCGCCTGCTACAGGGTAAGTGCCTACAGGTGACCTTCCTTTAACTGGTGATGTGGCCTGGGCTGCTTTTCCCCTTTCCCAAACTAAAGCTCAGCTCCCTGTGAAATGAACGCTCCTGAGGGCCATCGTGTGCTGTGTGCTGCGCTGCGTGGTCCTGCCTGGCACCATGGGCTGCTGGTACAGGAGATGTTGGAGCAGTCACCCCCACAACTGCTTTAGAGCAACTTCCCCTCATCCCACTGCCAAGAGCCTTCCCCAGGGTGTCCAAACAACATGTAACCCAGCCAGGCCTGAGTTCTGCTCCAAGCACTTGTCCATGACCTGCACATCATCACAAAGGAACTAGGCAGAATGTCGGGAATCTCAGTGCTTTCCCTGCCTGGAAGAATCTAGCATCTGTGACAGGCTGCCTAGGACACCCAGCCCCTGGCAGTGCGGTATCAACCAGGGGTTCACCTCATGAGGCTTCTCCATTGGGATGTGGCTGAGGGAAGAAACAGGGAGAGGACTTGAAATTCTGTTTCCTCCTTGGCCAAACATGCACCCCCTGGGAGCCAGAGAGGTGAGTGGTGGCCTGGGAGCTGGCTGCAGTCTGCTGGGCACTGCCTCCTGTGTCTCCCTGAGCCACCCTGCAGCAGGAAGAGGGATCATAGAATCCCAGACTGGTTTGGGCTGAAGGGACCTTAAAGCTCATCCAGTTCCAACCCCCTGCCATGGGCAGGGACACCTTCCACTAGACCAGGTTGCTCCAAGCCCTGTCCAACCTGGCCTTGAACACTGCCAGGGATGGGGCAGCCACAGCTTCTCTGGGCACCCTGTGCCAGTGCCTCAGCACCCTCACAGGGAAGAATTTCTGCCTAAGAGCTCATCTCAGTCTCCCCTCTGTCAGGTTAAAGCCATTGCCCCTTGTCCTGTCCCTACAGGCCCTTGCCCAAAGCCCCTCTCCAGGTTTCTTGTAGCCCCTTTAGGCACTGGAGCTGCTCTAAGGTCTCCCCTTAAGGAGCCTTTTCCAAGCTGAACAAGACCATTTCTCTCAGCCTGTGTTCAACTGCTCAGTTCCCCAAGGCTGAGGTGTTCATACTGCTTTCCTTATGCCTGGGTCTGATATGTAAATAGCGGGTGCTCCCATGGGGGGTCGGGAGTCAGCAGTGAGAGGCTTATGTTTCTGACCGGAATGCTGGATGCTGGCTCCAGGGGTAACTGGTTGTTTCTGCCTTAAATCCTTTCCCCACATCCCTGTTGGTGAAACCCTGCCAGATGCTTTTGTTGCACTGAGACCTTCGGCTGTTAGAGCAATTCTAAAGACCTTTCTCCCTCTGTTTGCCTCCTATCCATGACTGTCCTCTCTCTCTCAAGCTGAAGGAGATGGTGGAAGCAGAAGATGCCCTCTCTGAAGCCAATGCCCTCAATAACACCAACGCGGAAGTGTGGGCATATCTCTCCCTCATCTGCCTGCACGTGAGTGCCCAGCCCGCCACCCCCATGGTCTATTGCAACAGCTCATGAGCCTGAACAACATGGTGTAGATGGTGGTGGTAAAGTCTGGGGGCTGTACTGGGAGAGGGTGAAACGTTCTGATGAGCATAGCAGCGCCCTCCATCACTGGCTGCACTCACTCCCCCAGGGCACATCCTTTGTGCTGAGCTTTCTTACCATGTGTGATTTCCCTGAGGGCCCACACCATTCCCATGGGATGATGTCCTCACTGCTCTGTGTCCTTTCCCCAGGGAGGACGACATATGGAGGCAGAGCAGTGCTACAAGTACGTCCTCAAGGTCAGTGTCTGCGCCGCTGCGGGGTGGGCAGGGCAGGGCAGTGTGTGACCAGGCACTGGCCAGAGTGTGCCCCACTATGAGTCATGGAATGGGTTTGGGTTGGAAAGGACCTTAAAGCTCATCCACTTCCAACCCCCTGCCATGGGGGACAAGGAAGAACTTCCTTATATCCAACCTCAATCTCTTGTATTTAATTTTAAATGCATTACCCCTTGTCCTATCACTATACAGTCCCTAGTGAAGAGTCCCTCTCCAGCCTACTTATAGCCCCCTGTCAGCTATTGGAAGGCTGCTATGAGGTCTCCATGTAGCTTATCTTCTCCAGGCTGAACAGCCCCAACTTTCTCAGCCTATCTTCATACGGGAAGTGATCCAGCCCCTGATCATCCTCATGTCCTCCTCTGGACTTGCTCCAGCAGCTCCGTGTCCTCCTTACGTTGAGGACACCAGAACTGCAGGCAGAACTGCACCTGGGGTCTCATGAGAGCAGAGCAGAGGGGCAGGATCACCACCTTTGACCTGCTGGTCAAAGCGTTTGCCCTTTGACTTGCGAGCTGAGTTCGATGGTTCAGCACGGAAGGGCTGAGGCAGGAAGCCATGGGAGGGTTAAAGCTGCCCTGCCTGTAGCCCCTGTCCACGGCGGCTCTGTCCGGGGGTCGGGGGCGTGCGCGTGTGCCTCTGCCCCGCCTGACCCGCCCCTTTCCCCGCAGCTGGGCCTGACGAACGACGCGCTACTGCGGGAGCTCCGCGCCGCCCAGCTCCGGTTCGGCTTCGGCAACCCGGAGCTCTGAGCTCCGGCTCCGCATAAACCCCCTGTCCCGACCGCTGCTGTCCGCCTCCATCGCTACCGCGCCGGGACCGGCCGCTGGGGGGCGTGCCACGCACGTCCCGAGGGGCGTGGCTTGGTGTGGGTCACGTGACGGGGGTGGGGCCGGGCGGCGGGCGCGGATTGGCGGCGAGCACGCGGGACGGTTGAGCCGGCGGCGCGCGCTATGGCGGCAGGTAGCGGCGGGGGGAGTGTGGGTACCGAGGGGTAACGAGCGGCCGGGGGTACCCTGGGGGGAGCCCTCGGAGCACGATGGTAACGGGAGTGTCACCGGGGTCGGGGTTACACCGGGGTTGGCGCGACAGCGGAGCGCGGGGGTAGCGGGAGAGTCACGGGGGTAAAAGGGAGACTCGCGTCATGGGGGGCTCCGGATGCGGACATACCGGGGGTGCCACCAGGGCTGGGGGCTCGGAGCATGGGCGTAACCAGGGGGGAGTCACCAGGCATGACTGCGACACTGGGTCTGGGCGGGGGGAGACACTCGGAGCACGGAGATACCGGCGGCGTCACCGGGGTTGGGAGGGGCGCGTTTCGGATCATGTGGGGCTCCGGGCGCGCAGATAACAGGGATGCCACTGGGGCATGGGGTTTCAGAGCACGAGAGTAACGGGGTGTCACTGGGCTGGGAGAACTCAGAGCTCGGGGGTTACCAGATCTGGCACTGGGCTAGAGGCAGGGTGGTGACACTGGGGCTAGGGGCCACTTGGGGTGTAGAGGTAATGGGGCCATCACTGGGGATGGAGGGACCCAGAGCATGAGGGTAATGGGGCTGGTAGCAGGTCTGTCACCAGGCTCGGGGCACAAGGGTGACACCGGGGCTGGGTATACTCGGGACATGGAGATGACTGGGTGCCAGCAGGATGGGGAACCTTGGGACACAGGGACAGCAATGGGGTCTGCGGTGCGGGGGACACCGTTCCGCCACTGTTTGTGGTACCGGCAGCCTGGCAGCGGCCATACCTGAACATCTTCAAGCACTTCCGTGTGGAGGAGTGGAAGCGCTCCGCCAGGGAGGGGGACGTGGCCACCTTCACGGTAACACCGGGGACACTGGCACCAGGGCGCTGGGGGACTGGCTGCAGTGGGCACCGCTGACCCCCCATTGCCCTGTGGTTTGGGCAGGACGCAAGGCTGAAGGGAACTGTGTACCGGATCCGAGGCTCCATACCCGGCAGCAGCTACCTGCAGCTGCCCCGCACTGGGACACAGTCACTGGGGCTGACCGGGCGCTACCTCTACCTGCTCTTCAGGCCTGTGCCTTGCAAGCACTTTGTTGTCCACCTGGATGTCACCACCAAGGTAGGACACTGAGCAGCCTTGTTAAACTGCCATCATGGGTGTTGTGGCTAACGGAAGGGTTGAGGTGTGGTACTGGTGGTCTTGGGGGGAAAAACCTGGCCGATCTTTGTTGTCACTGGTGTTTTATTCTGGACTGGAAATGGTTTCCATCCTCGTGGCATCTCTGCTGGTGACAGGAGACAAGGAAGGGACAGCAGATAGGATCACTCACCTTCTCCCCTGCAGCATATTCCTGCTGAAGCCACCAGGGTGACTAAAGCTGTGTCTGTGTCTGTCACCTCAGGAAAAGCAAGTGGTTCGCATCTCCTTCTCCAGCCTCTTCAAGGAATTCAAATCCACGGCCACCTGGCTGCAGTTCCCCTTCGTCTGTGGAGCTGCTGAGGGCTCGGCCAGGGCACCCAGGCATGGTGAGGAGGATTTGTGCTGCTGCTCATGGTGCGCAATACCAAATTCATTGAGTTTGGAAGTGGACTTGATGTATTCGAGGAGAGTGAAGAGCAGGAGACCCTCAGCAGATGGGGGTCAGAGCTGTGGCTCCCAGGAGGGATGTCCCTGCTTTGCAGCAATGAATTACGGGGCATATTTTCCCACTTCCCATCTTGGCGCAGGCAAGCCAAGCCTTGTGGGAGTCATCCCTGGTGAATAGTACCACTTAACCATGTTAATCTTGCATCTATGTTCTGTGAAGCCCAAGGTCTATAGCATCTTCTTCCCTTTCACCACTTACCACTCTCTTCCCCAGAGCTGGTGGGAGATGCCCCCACTGACGTGCGCTGGACCTGTCTCATGCTCGACCTTCACTCCATCCTCTCCCTCTACCTCAACCGTCACTACAGCCACCTCAAGAGCATCAAGCTCTGCTGCAGCCTGCTGGTGAAAACCCTCTGCACCAGCGACTTGGTGTTTGACCCAGGTGAGGAGCTCAGCGTGGCCTCTCATTTCTCCTGTGACCTCAGCCCAGTCTGGATGGAACCCTGGGTCATACTGGCTTCTGCAGCGTGGTGCTGACAGGCTTAGCCCTGGAGGAGCACTTAGCTGCCATTATGGTAGGAAGCAGAAAGGGCAAAATACTTGGTCTGACGTTAAGTTTCTATGTGTGCTGGTGAATAAAATCTCCCAGCCTCCAGAGGAAAGTGTCGTCTTGTTTTCCAGCTGTAGAAGTGAACAGTAAGGGCAAAGTTAAATATCTTACTAAAGTTAGACTTCTTTTTCAGAGGTAAACAATCAAGGTGTTCCCAAGCTTCACTTCCCCAAGGCCTGTGCTTTTATCTGCTAGAAGAGCCTGTGGGTTCTTTTGTCTCAGAAATCTTCCAACCTAGTTTTTTGATACCCCTGCTCAGTGTGGCAGAGATACTTCAGTCAAAACTTTTGGTTTTGCCTTTCTTTATTTGCACTGGTAATCTGCCCGAACTAACTGACGCCATCAGTGGAGTTCCAGGATGTTGCAGGTGCTGCTTTTGGATTCGTGAAACTTGTTCTGTCTGGAGACTTGCACAAATTTACAAACATATGAAGGAGACAAGACAAGCAAATGAGAAAAGAGCCTTAACACAAATCACGTGAAATTGCTGAATCACTGAATAGAGAATCTGGGGAATCTCGGGCCTGGGAGATACAATCCCAGACTGGTTTGGGTTGGAAAGGACCTTAAAGCTCATTCAGTTCCACTCCCCTGCCACGGGCCCCTGCCACGGGCAGGGACACCTTCCACTAGACCAGGTTGCTCCAAGCCCCATCCAACCTGGCCTTGAACACTGCCAGGGATGGGGCAGCCACAGCTTCTCTGGACAACCTGTGCCAAGTCATGGGTTTGTCCTCTGGGACGTCCCCTGGAATACTTGCGCACCTCGGGCTTGTACTCTTTGCTTTTCAGGTGTTCTCAAAGACAGAAGCAGTTTGAGCCCTTTCACTGGAAACATGATTGCAGCTCCACAGCCCTTGGAGACCTGACCCTCTTTCTGTCCTCTGCCTCCAGGCGTGACATTCTCCGAGGCCCGTCAAGCCGAGCTGGCATGCCACGGGGTAGTGCCCATGCCACGGGAAATGGCATTCCCTGTGCCAAAGGGCGAGAAGTGGCACGACCTCTACGACTACATCAGGTACGGCTGCTCCTGGCTGCACTGACCCCACTACAGCTCCAAGACCTCTAGGAAAGGTATTTAGATAACACTGCTTAAGGAATGACAGATCCAGACAAACGTGGGGCTCAGTGGAGACATTGCCATCACCCTAAGTCCAGCATTTAGGTGTTGTTAACACATTTAGCCTGGTCTAAGCTTAATGCTGATAGGTGATGTTTTGGGGCAGGAAAAAGGCCGTAGAGGACTCCAGTGTCCAGAGTTAACACCAGTCCTCTCTGTCAGTGACCTCTTGTTGGGATGGCTCCCATGTAACACCTTGTTGGGGGGCAGATGTAAAAGTACATCCCTCAGCTCCTATGCTGGGTTCCTGTTGGTGGTGTGGGAGCACAGCACTCCATTCTATCTGGTGAGACCTCCCTGCAGTCCTGATGCAGCTCTGGGGCAAGAACACGAGAGGGATGTGGAGCTGTTGGAGGGAGTCCAGAGGAGGCCACGGAGATGCTGCAAGGGTTGGAGCAGCTCTGCTCTGGAGCCAGGCTGAGAGAGCTGGGCTGGTTCAGCCTGGAAAGAGAAGCTGCGTGGAGGGGAGACCTTAGAGCAGCTCCCAGTGCCTAAAGGGGCTACAAGAAACCTGGAGAGGGGCTTTGGACAAGGGCCTGTAGGGACAGGCCAAGGGGGAATGGCTTTAACCTGACAGAGGGGAGACTGAGATGAGCTCTTAAGCAGAAGCTCTTCCCTGTGAGGCTGCTGAGATGCTGGCACAGGGTGCCCAGAGAAGCTGTGGCTGCCCCATCCCTGGCAGTGTTCAAGGCCAGGAGGCCAGGTTGGACGGGGCTTGGAGCAACCTGGTCTAGTGGAAGGTGTCCCTGCCCATGGCAGGGGGTTGGAACTTGGTGATATTAAGGTCCCTTCCCACCCAGTCTAGTGGAAGTTGTCCCTGCCCAAACCATTCCATGATTCTATGAGGTTTTTGCCAGAGAATCCTGTTGGTCATAAACTCAGCTCATCACAGTCATCACATTAGCGACATTACTTAAAGTGTGCAATGCCAAGTTAACCCCTGGAATGTGATGCTGTAGATGAGACCCAGGACATGCTTTATTTAGGGTGGGTGGGGCAAAAGGGGAAATCTTAACAGGACACATGAAAAGGCTTCTGTGTCAGGCCATGAGTTGCCAAGTGGTATTCCTTGGTGCCAGTGCAATGTCCCAGTGACATGGTGTCTTCCTCTGATTTTGCTCAGATTCCCATCCGAGGGGTCCAAGATGCCAAAGGACTCCATCCAGAAGAGCTGTCCCGGCCCTGTGGCAGGTGAGAATGCTGGGGATGGCAGCCAGGGTTGGATGCTTTGGTTAGATGCTTTGGGTTTCCCAGGGACCCCAACCTCCTCCTCGTGTCACTCAGGTGGCCAAGCCCCAGAGGATCCCATCCAGCAGCAGCCAGTGGCTCTCACCAGTGCAGTCCGTGACCGACTGTCCCTCATCCAGCAGATAACCAGTCCCAAAGCTGTAAGTGCCTCAGGGAGGAGGCTGAAACTTCTTCCCTTCTGCCTCCCATGTTTTTCACCACATCTTCTCTTTGAGGGCCTTTATTTAAGAAGCTGCTTCTTGCCTGTGGCCGATCTGACCCCAGTCTGGGCACAGTCTGTTGACTGCAGCCCTGCAGTTACTGATGGGGTGGCTCAGTGTGGGCCAGCACAGAGCAGAGCTGAGCTCAATGCCAAGTACCTCACAATCTCCAGACAGCTCCTCCACATCTCAGCTGAGGCAGCAAATAGTTGTGTCTTCAAATTATAGATAAGAAATGAGGGCTGGGGGCTAAAGATCCCGATCAGGTGTCCTTTGGGGCAGAATAGTGTGTAGAGTCTGAACTGCTGGGACCACAGCAGCTGCCCTCACCCCTGATTTCCCATTCTCCACTGGTGATGAGGAGCTGCTACTCAGCTGGCTCGCCAGACAGCATGATGGCGGGCTTTTGGAGAAAGATGGGGAGAAGCCATCCTTCTCACACTGTGGAGAGGGAGAAAATGAGGAGTGTGACCACATTGCTGCTCTGAACTGGGATGTGCCGAGCTGGTGCTTTTAGCCTCTGCTCAGTGGAGAGCAGCTCTTTGAGTCTTTTCTGGGCTGGATCTCTTATGGGGCTCTGATTTGCTGTCTGGAGGAGATGAACTGTGTATAGACAATATTAGGAGCACAGGGAGAGCGGTTGGTTAACATACCTGGCCAGGCTGGGTACCCACAGGGATACTCTGCCTCCATGCTGCTTTGTGTATGGCTGTGAAGAGTCATTTGGGAGACATGTGGGTGCCCTCGTCTCTGCCTTTGCAGAGGGTGGAAGGTACTCAAGGAGGGCTGATCTCACTCTGAGGCTTTGCTCTTTCTCAGATGCCACACCACTGTCCTGTCGTTCCAAAGAGCATTCCTGAGGTTCAACTGACAGCCTCCAGGCCTCCGAGAGCTATGCCAGCTGGAGACCAGGAGCTGGAGAAGAATCAGAAGTCACGCAATGTGGAGGACACTGGCCAGTCTCCAACAGTGGGCGACGGAGGCATCCACGTGTACGCTCACCAGAGGAGCAAACAAGCCACCCGAGCTGTTCATGCTGGCTCAGAGGAGGTGGGTGAAGCACTGAGCAGTCACAGCAGCCCAAGGGTGCCTTTGGGATGCTTACTGCTGATGCTGAAGCAGCAGAGGGAGCACAGGCTTCCGGATGGAGTTTCAGTTAATCCCTTTTGCTGGTGTTATTTTTCTCCTTTCCACTTCCTCACCTTGAAGGAGGGACCCTGTGTTCAAATCCACTCATCTTGAGCTAATAATGTGTGTGTATTGATTTGCTCAGAGCACATGCAGGAAGGGCCCTGGACCAGGTGTGCTGCCCAGTAGGAGAGCTGCTGCCTGCAGGGTAGGTCTGGTGCTTCCCCCAGCAACCACTGGCTCTGGGCATCACCGGGACACTGCAAGGGCTGTCTGTAACCAAGCCTGGGTGGGATTGCTGCTTAACACTGGAAATCCCAGCTCTTGCCGACAGATTTGGCTTCTGCCAGGCTAAATACTGTAAAGCCATACCCTTTAGCAGGAAAGAACCCCTGTGCTTTAGAGAGAAACCAGCAATGGGGATGGAGGGTGGAGGACCTCAGTCCAGCTCTACATACAACAGCTCTGTCTCTTTTAATTCCAGAGGCTCTTACCAGATCCCATCCTGAAGCTGAGAATGATTATTGGCTTTGGAGGCTGCAGCACCAAGTGGGTCAGTAGCTCGGATGGTTTGGGGAGCTGATCTGTAATCCCATGCCCAGGGTATTAACTTTGGAGGTATGAAAGGAGTTGAATGTACTGCTCGATAGGGAAAATGACCCCAAAACAGATGGGTCCAAGCTTATGTTTGTGCATGAGTCTTCTGCTGTTATGGTGGTGAATTAGAAATCAGGGGACTTTTTAGATCTTGTGGCTTCTGTGTTTTAACACGTTAAAATAGAGATGCTTTGTAGGAGTCTGCAAAGGGTTTCATATTGTTTCCATGTGGCACTGTGCCTTGCAGGAGCCCAGCTTGCAGTGTGTGTTTCGGTAAAGAAAAGGTCATTTTGGTTCAGTCATAGAATCATAGAACCAACCAGGTTGGAAAAAACCTTTAAGATCATCAAATCCAACCATTCCCCAGCACTGCCAAGGCCACCACTAAACCAAAATTCCCATCTTGGGAGTTCTTCCCCATGTGAGATCCATCCCTGCCTATAGGCTACTGCAGTTCACACTGGAGGCTCCTGTTTTCTTGGCTTGGCAGCTGGCCAAGGTTACACCTCATAAGCTCAGCAAGCCTTTGGGGAAGAGATGGGATCCCTTGGAAATGATGCAACCCACCTCGATCAGACTGAGACAGCTGGGCTTGTTCAGCCTGGAGAAGAGGAGACTCCTTAAGGGGAGACCTTAGAGCAGCTCCAGTGCCTAAAGGGGCTGCAAGAAACCTGGAGAGGGGCTTTGGACAAGGGCCTGTAAGGACAGGACAAGGGGGAATGGCTTTAACCTAACAGAGGGGAGACTGAGATGAGCTCTTAGGCAGAAGTTCTTCCCTGTGAGGGTGCTGAGGCACTGGCACAGGGTGCCCAGAGAAGCTGTGGCTGCCCCATCCCTGGCAGTGTTCAAGGCCAGGTCAGATGGGGCTGGGAGCAACCTGGTCTAGTGGAAGGTGTCCCTGCCCATGGCAAGGGGTTGGAACTGGATGAGCTTTAAGGTCCCTTCCAACCCAGACCATTCTGATCCTATGATGTGAGCAAGGCAATGACATGGAGGAAGCCTGGAGTGGGGAATAGGGCAAACAGACAAGGAGATAAGGCAGCAGCGTCGGTGTGGGGATATATGGGACTGAGCTGTAGGTAACAGCCCACACACCAGCTGTGGGGGCAGGAGAGGAGCACTAAGGCACAGCGCAGCCCCACACCTGTTCCAGCTGTCACTCTCTCTGACCAGAGCTGGTTATCCCAGTGCTCTGCTTCCTGGTCACTTACTCCACAGCCTCAACCTCCAGGCACTGGTTCAGAAGAGATTAAACCATAAATGACCCACACAGACAGCTTGCAAAGCCATGTCCTCTCTTATTACAGTACAGCGGGTTTTGTTCAGTGTTGGATGGGAGCCTATTATGAGATGATGATCTCTCCATATGAGCACAGGAGCAGGCTATTGCCTTACCAGCTGCAGGAAATCCATACTATCATGTCTCAAGATACCCTTAGCCTTTCCAGAGACAGAATGACATTTCATTTTACTGGTGACCAGGAGGTCATCAACACTCACTGGCTGGGAACAGCAAAATCAAGTCCAAATGCTGACCCCATTATCAGCCCTCAGGAGCTCACACCACAAATACAAATACATCTGTTGATGACTGAGCATCTGATGGCAGCCTTTAACTAAGAGAGACCCAGAAATAAGCCACTTCTTCCCATTGCAGCAGGCTCTATCCCTGTATCCTCAATCTAATCTATAATTCAATTGGTTTTAACCCATCTCTTTGCATTACAAACCAGCTGAGCATCCTGCTAGATGGCCAAAACCAGACAACACGCACCTTTGCATCCCTCTCTGCAAACTTGGTGAACGTGTTGGTGTAGATCCTCCAGTCCCGCTCGTCCATTCAAGACTGTTACAACATCTTTTTCCTTATATCTGCTGTTCATGTAGTAGACGTGATTGTACAATAAATCCACTGAATGAAGTAGGATTTTAGCTGGGCTCTTAGTTTTCCATTGTGAGTTAGAATAATACTCGTATGGGATGCGCACACGCGTGCAGAGCTCCTGGGGAAGAAATCCCTGCAGGTCCAGCCCAAAGACCTGGGGCACCTCTGGAGGATCTGCACCCCTTTCATTCCTGTCTGGGTCCTGCAGGCACTGTGGGCTCAAAACAACACTGCAGTGGTCTACCCCTGCCATGCGGTCATCGTGACCCTGCAGATCCACTCCAGGAAGCAGAGGTTCTTCATTGGGCACACGGATAAGGTGAGTGTAAGTCCTTACAAAGCCCCATGGCAGCACTGTCCATGTACCCCAGATGTACCCCCGGTTGCAGCTCTATCCCGGTGCTTCCTGCAGGTGTCAGCACTGGCCTTCAATGGGAGCAGCACCTTGCTGGCTTCCGCTCAGGCTGGTCCCCGGAGCGTCGTGCGCCTCTGGGACTTCCCAAGGGGAAGCTGCCTCTCCGTGTTCAAAACCCACGCCCACTCCCTCTTGTCCTTGAGGTGGGTTTCAGCCTGAGTGCAGGAATGTGTTCGGGTGGGTAAGGCGTTGGAGCATGGCAGCTTTCCCATGCTATTCCTGAGTGATAAATGAGGGGTGAATTACAGCTTCTGCTTCAGCCTGCTGGCAACCGGCCTGGAACAGCTGATATGCTGCCAGCTCCCTCATGAGCTTATCCCTCAGGTCTTGCTGTCTCCTCATCCTCACAACTTGTCTCCTTTTGTTTCCTGTTGAGATGCACTTGGGGTACCAAGAGCTGCATTTCACCATGTCTCTTCTTGCAGCTTTTCCTACAGTGGAGCTGTTCTGTGCGGCGTCGGAAAGGATGGGCATGGCAAAACGGTGAGAACTGGAGTTTGAGTTTGGAGGTTTCCTTGCCCTGTGAGTGAGCAAGTGCCAGGATTCTGTAGTTATTTTGCAGACAAACCTCTGCTCTGGGCTTTCCTAGATGTGTTCTTCACTGCAGTCAGAGGGAGTTCCTTTTCTCGTTACCTCCTTAGAAATCACTTACCTTCAGCTTGGTGCTTGTGAGCATTCACACACGTGTTCCTTAGCAGCGAGCAAACAAATCCTTTTGGGAGCAGCCTGAGGGATCAGCTCAGTTTGAGCTCTGAGGCTGTTTCTCTCCCTGGTGTGGTCCCAGCAAGGAGCCCAGGTGGGGTAATGAAGGCAGCTGTGTGATTCTGCCTGTACCCGTTGCCTCCACAGCATTCCAGCCCACTGGGCTGAGGGTGACATGTTTGTATGGCATTTTGAGCTGGAAGGTTTGCAAGCATGGAGGGGAGGAGTGGGAATTGAAATGGGAGGTTCAACACTGACTGGCGTCCCAAATCCTTTGAGTTTTTTATAGCATTTAGGGCAAGATGTGAGGTTTAATCTTTCGGTCCTGAGCCTCACAGGCATCACTGCTGGGAGGGATGGTGGGCACTGAAGCTGCCAAACACCACTGTAGGTGGGGGATGATGCAGAGTCCACGTGTAGCAGTCAAAAATGAAATTGTTTCATGGGACTGTGGGTTTGCTTTATCAGTGATACTGTTCTTATCCGCTGATCCGTTACTAACCACCAGCAGCAATTAGCTGTGCTGTTGCTCACTAGGTACTGCCTGCAGGAAAACCAAACACTGCTCCCTTATTTTGTCCCAGCATGTGGCAGTGGTCCCTGTGCTGCATGGGAGCAGGCAAGCTGCAGCTGGGGAGGGGGGACTTATAGGGTGAAAACAGGATGGGAGAATGGGGTGGCCTTTGGTGGGGGCTGGCCAGGACCACCTCTCCCAGGGTGATGCTTCATCCCACCCCAGCCTCTGAGGTGGATTTAACACTATTCTGAATGCAGAGCATGAAATCACCTACAGTTCTTTCCCAATCTCTCCCTTTCCTTTGGGAAAAGGAAACTTGCCCCTCGTGATGGGCATGTGAACAGGTGACCCCACATCAGAGCAAAGTCCTATGAGAGCCAGTGCAGCCAGACTTGTGCTACCTCCAGCTCCCACAGAGCAGCTCAGGCCTGGTAGAGATCTCGTATTTCAGCAGCCAGAATTCCCACTCTTCTGGATTTTCTTTCCAAGTCTGATCCCTGTTGCCAGGCAGGCCTGGGATTCAGAACCTGTAATTATGGATGCTAGAGAAGCATATTCCCATGAAGCTTTATAAAGCTCTTGGACTGTCCTGAACCCTCTGTGTGAGGGTGTTTTATTTCCCCTGCTTCAACTCTGTTATCAGTACTTTGTTTCCAGCTCTGGGGACGTTCCCGTGTGTGCAGCTGGTCAGCTGTGTGACAGAAATCTCCCTTGCTGCCAAGGTTTCCATGTTTGAACAACTCTGCCAGTAGAGAATCACAGAATTTCAGACTGGTTTTGGTTGGAAGGGGCTTTAAGATCATCCAGTCCCAACCCTCTGCCATGGGCAGGGACACCTTCCGCTAGACCAGGTTGCTCCAAGCCCCGTCCAACCTGGCCTTGGACACTGCAAGGCATGGGGCAGCCACAGCTTCTCTGGGCAACCTGTGCCAGTGCCTCAGCACCTGCACAGTATATATACCTTCCTTATATCTAACCTGAACTTCCTCTGTTTTAGTTTGAACCCATCACCCCTTGTCCTATCACTGCAGTCCCTGATGAAGAGTCCCTCTCCAGCATCTTTTCTTGCTTCAGATGGTGGTGGTGTGGAACACTGCTCAGGTGACCCAAGGTGGAGAGGTGGCTGTGCTGGCCAAAGCACACACAGATGTGGACATCCAGGCCTTGAAGATTACTTCTTTTGATGATTCCAGGTAGGATGCAAAGGAAATAAATCAAAAGCATTGGTTCTGTCGCAGCCTGGGGGGTAGAATGGGGCTGTGTTCTTGTTCTTAGTCCTCACTGGTAACTGGTGGCCGTTGGGGTTAGGGTTATTGGTGCTCATGCAGCCTCTCCCTGGGCAGGATGGTGTCGTGTGGCTGGGACAACATCAGGCTGTGGCGAGTGCGGAGTGGAGTGCTGCGCTCCTGTCCTGTTGACCTGGGCGAGTACCGTTCCCTAGAGTTCACTGGCCTGGCCTTCCAAGAGGGATGCGCAGCTGAGCGGGAGCGCGAGGACCACACGTTGTAAGGGGCTGAGGGAATCGCTGGGGTTGTTGGCAAGGAGGGATGCTTGGCATTCTCTGCATGAGCACAGGATTTTCCCTCTAGAATCGGGTGCCTCCTGGAGCTGGGAGAGCTTCTCTCCTGTTCAGCTCACGTTGCTTCCCAAAAGAGATTTGACTGCTTGAGAACAGCCCAAGAAACATGATTTTCCTCTTGCCATTCTCTTCATTAGGGACTGTAGCAATAGGACAAGGGAATGGGTTCAAACTTAAGCAGGGGAGATTGAGATGAGCTCTTAGGCAGAAGTTCTTCCCTGTGAGGGTGCTGAGGTGCTGGCACAGGTTGCCCAGAGAAGCTGTGGCTGCCCCATCCCTGGTAGTGTTCAAGGCCAGGTTGGATGGGGCTTGGAGCAACCTGGTTTAGTAGAAGGTGTCCCTGCCCATGGCAGGGGCTTGGAACTGGATGAGCTTTAAGGTCTCTTCCAGCCCAAACCATTCCATGATTCTGTGGTTCTGTACTGATGTTTTGCCATATTTAATGAATTTCTCCCCCACCTGATGCCTGTGTTTTGCTTTCTCTTGGCAGTGTGGTGCATAGCCTCTTGCATACAGACAGATACATGCTTTTTTCCCCCTTGTTTTATTTTAATCATCAAAGCCAGACCTTTGTTGCTGCCACACACCATTCCACAAGCAGAGCTGTCAGCTCAGCTGGCCCTGTCTTCCCTGGTGCCGTGTCCTGTGGCAGAGAGGTTCCTTTCTGAGATCTATGCCGAGCTTTTAGCTGTTTTTTTTAATTAACCTTTCAAAAGGACAGGGAATAGAGTGGGAAGCCCTTGGTTGTAGATTTGCCCTTGGACCTGGTTGACTAATTACATTGCCATGAACCAGAATTGCTTTCCATCAGGCAGTTGAATGGCTAAACCAAGCTGGGTTTTTACTAAACCACGCTGACACAGCCCCTTTTAATCCTGGTTAAGTGGAGCTTAAGTGCCAGAGCAGGGATCTTTCTCCTCTACAGCTTTGTCTGCAGCAAGAGTGGCCACATCTTGGAGGTGGACTACCAGAACGTGAGTGTGAGGAGCGCACTGCAGCTGCTGCCTGCGCCACTCCGGGACTGCCAGCGGCTAGACAAGTCAGGTAGGAGCATCTACAGGGAGGAGGGACCAGCCGGGAGCAGCCCACCATCATCTGGGGCAGACACGACCTCACCTCCCTGGTAAAATAAACCAGTGGTTTACCTACTGCTAAGGGTTATTTTGGGTCAATTAGAGCATTTGTAGCTATTTGCTTCTTAAGTACCTCAGATAATCCTTAATACAGCAAAGTATCATTTTAAGAAAGAATTTTGGCATCTAAAATGCTGATTGCACTTTCAGAGAAACACCACTTTTAGAAACATGAAAAAGTCTTAATTTGCTGATGGGAGTCTTAATGTAGAGATGGAAAAAGAGCTAAGCAGCCCACTAAAAAAAGATGAATTTGGGGATGTTTCTCACTAGTCAGCCTGTGCAGAGTGTTTGGGAAGTCTTTGTTGCTGTGTACAAAGCTTTGCAGCTTTCAGCTCTTCCACTGATTTTTAACAGCAGGAAGAATTCACTTTCAAGTGGTATTGCTCTCATATCTCAAAACCTAGTGCCCAGTTTGCTTTGGCAAATTGAGCTGATTAATGTAGGGCAAGCCCCTTTGAGATGCGTGTAACTGTGGTTCTCGCTTCATGGGTGAGAAAGCACCCAAGAGGAGATGAAACGATGTCCTTGGGTGTCTTCCTGCTACCAGTGCTGGCTTTCGCCAGTGCTTTGACCAGTGAACTTTATACCTAAATCAAACCCACAGTTTTGGAATCACAGAATCCCAGACTGGTTTGTATGGACCTTAAGATCATCCAGTTCCACCCCCCTGCCATGGGCAGGGACACCTTCCACTAGACCAGGTTGCTCCCAGCCCCATCCAACCTGGCCTTGAACACTGCCAGGGATGGGGCAGCCACAGCTTCTCTGGGCACCCTGTGCCAGCGCCTCAGCACCCTCACAGGGAAGAGCTTCTGCCTAAGAGCTCATCTCAGTCTCCCCTCTGTCAGGTTAAAGCCATTCCCCCTTGTCCTGTCCCTGCAGGCCCTTGTCCAAAGCCCCTCTCCAGCTTTCTTGGAGCCCCTTTAGGCACTGGAAGCTTTTCTAAGGTCTCCCCTTAAGGAGCCTTCTCTTCTCCAGGCTGAACCAGCCCAGCTCTCTCAGCCTGGCTCCAGAGCAGAGCTGCTCCAGCCCTTGCAGCATCTGTGACCTCTTCTGGACTCGCTCCAACAGCTCCACTTCCCTCTTGTGCTGTTGCCCCAGATCAGGGCTGCGGGGGGTCCTCCCCAGAGCACAGCAGAGGGGGAAGATCCCCTCCCTCTCCTGCTGCTCATGCTCTGGGGATGCAGCCCAGCACATGGGGGGAGTTCTGGGCTCAAGCACTCACTGCTTATGGGAAAGAGCAGTGCTGGAAAAGGAGAGGGACTAGACATGGTGTGAGTCCTGAGAGGGGCTGTTCAGACTCTTCAGCCTTTGTTGTGAGTCAGTTGTGGGATTCCTGGGTGCTGCTGCTTCTGAGGGTTCTGGTGCTGGTACAGGTGGACTGTTGGACTGTTCTGGGATGGAGCAACCGTCAGTCTTAGTTTTCTTGTTCTGACTGTACAAGGTGCTGTTGTTTTTTGTTTTTCAGGTGCTGGGATTGCTATAAACAGCATTAGCATCTCCTCACACTTCTGTGCCACGGGTTCAGAAGATGGCTACCTGCGGCTGTGGCCACTGGACTTCTCGGCTGTTGTCGCAGAGGCAGGTGAGTAGAGCTGAGAGCTTCTGAGCTCTACATCTCTTTCAGCCTGCTGCTGTGAAGCCAGAGATCCACTGCCATGTCTCCTAAAGCTATTCTTAGGAGCTCAGTCTCTCTCCTAAAGCAATTCTCAAGCATCTTTTGTGCTTGCTGTCAGTAGGGGTGACTGGCTTGGAAGTCTCCTACTCCAACAAGCCTTATTGATGTTCATTCTTGTAACTTAAAGGAGAAAGGCAGGATCTCCTGGGTGAGCACAGGCACTCTGTCTTCATTTCTGCACCCTTGTACCTATGGCTCATCTGTCTGTGGAAAATTAGGGGAGAAATCAAGCAGTTCTTCACAATTCTTGAAACAATCACCATCACAGCAGAGTCCGGGGACTTCTAGGGGGCAGACACTAATTTATCACTTAACTCAAGCCTGCAAGCATCCAGTCTTCAGATGGTGGGATGCTCATTACTGAATGTGAATCTGCCTTGGTAGCTGTGTTCCAGCTGCTCCTGCTCCTTTTCCAGGGGGGGTTGCTGACTCCTGGGTCTCTCCCTAGAGCAAGAGGCTCCGGTGAGCAGTGTGTGCATCAGCCCGGATGGCCGCAGAATCTTGTGCACGACAGCTGCTGGGTACCTAGGCTACCTGGATCTCCAGTCCTGGGACTCCAACACCCTCATGCGCTCTCATGAGGACTCCATTCTGGCATTCTCCATGGAGGGGGTTTGGAAGTGGATGGCAACGGTGTCTCGGGACAGCACCATCCGGGTTTGGGACCTCGTCTCCATGCAGCAGGTGGGCCAGATGAGACTTGGAAGGTGTCTTATATGTATTAATAGTCTTCCTGGTCTCCGTTTGGTCCAGTTACCAAAGCTCCACAGTTCAAGAGCCCTTAAATGTCCTCCCTGAAGCATAAGGGGCATGGGCAAGAAATAGTTTGGAATAATGGAATTCTGAGAGGTTTAGCTTAATGCATAGTTTGGCCTTAGCTCCTGAAGGTTTTGTTAAACAACAGTATTTCCATTTCCTCCATCTTTTGAATCACAGACAGGTTTGTGCTGGAAGAGACCTTAAAGCTCATCCAGTTCCAAACCCCTGCCATTGGCAGGGACACCTTCCACTAGACCGGGTTGCTCCCAGCCCCATCCAACCTGGCCTTGAACACTGCCAGGAATGGGGCAGCCACAGCTTCTCTGGGCAACCTGTGCCAGCGCCTCAGCACCCTCACAGGGAAGAACTTCTGCCTAAGAGCTCATCTCAGTCTCCCCTCTGTCAGGTTAAAGCCATTCCCCATAGTCCTGTCCCTACAGGCCCTTGTAAATAGCCCAGATTTCATGTAGAATATTGCTTTTCAACAAGGCATAATAACCAAGGGTTTTATCTAGATGCCAGGACTTCACTGGGCTTCAGATCCATCCAGGCAGGTCCAGATTTCTGTTGTAAGACATGCTTATGGTGGAGGTCTGAGGCTGTTTAGTTGAGCTTTATCCAGCTTCATGCCTGTGGTGTGTCTCTTCCCCACAGCTGTACGACTTCACAGCTGCAGAAGGAACACCATGTGCTGTGGCCTTTCACCCTACCCAGCAGATGCTGGCCTGTGGCTTTGACAACGGAATGGTGTGGACCTTCAGCCTGGCCACCTCCAGTCTGCTGGTGGAGCACAAGTAAGGGCTGTCCTGGCAAGAGCCACAGTGATAATCATGGAGGTGGGAAAGTGCTTTTCTTGGGCTTGACAATGCTCATGTACCAGCTGAGTGGTGTTCAGGCAGAGGTGGCCTGCTCTGGGTGGGAAAAGTCCAACCTGGGAAGGCTCTGAGGGCTTTTTTTATGGCATCCCAGTGGACAGTTGACCCACATTAGGAAAAGCTTGTCCTAGAGAGCAGCTGAAGAGGGAGCCCTTGCAAGGCGTAGCATGGGAAGCAGTCTGGTCCAGAGGGAGAGGAAGCACATCCCATGGACGGCTGGAGTCCTGAGCTTGCTGCTCAGTTTTCCATGAAGTTTGAGTGTTGATTGACCTGAGCTGCTGCAGGCATGAGCATGGTGGGGTCCTGCCCCCAATTGCTTTGTTCTCCTGGGTTCTTCAGCATGTTGTGCTCAACATTGCTCCTGTTTTCTGACAGTTGGTTTGTTCTTTCCCCACCCCTGTTTTATGTTTTCCACCTTCTTTCAGACAGCACCGCACTGTTATCACTGGGCTGACCTTCTCTCCAGATGGCAATTTCATGTTCAGCTCCTGTTTGCAGGGAAGTCTGGCTCTTTACAGCTGCATGGCACAGAAAAGCCACGTCTTGCGAGTCCTGGGTAAGACTCTGGGGCTGTGGGTTGTCTTTCTTCTTTTATGAGCACAGACATCCTAGCACCAAAACCAAACCTGACTCAGAGAGCTTTTCTGATGAATCTTCTGAACTGTGACATTTGTGTTAATGTGTGAGCAAACCCTTGTGACTGCCACCCCTTCCCTACCCCTCCTGATTCAAACACTCTCCACTTGCTTGGCATTATGATTTCATGAACAAGCTGGAATAACAGAGACTTGTTCATGCCCAAGCCCTGAATCCTTCTATCCTGTGGATGTACAGTTTGTTTAAACTGGATCATTTCCCTAATCCTGCCTTCAGCTGTGCCAATGATCAGAGAAGGTGGAGAGCTCCAGGCAGGGGAAGCAGTACAGGGGCAAGGCAGTTTGGAAATGTTAATGTCACGTTTAATACACCTTGGGCAGGGAAAGGGAGTTCCATTATTGTACAAAGAGGGGGATCCTGCCCCAAGAAAAGTGTTCTTGAAATAGGTGAGAAGGAATAGGGGCTTGGAGAGATAAATCACCCAAGTTTGGCGTCAGTGCTGCAGCTGGACCTTCGCACGTTGACTCTGCTCTGAAACCCTGTTCACTGCCTGGCCATGTTCCAGGGACAGAACAGTGGCAGTGGAATAAAAACCAAGGATTGCTGTGATTTTGGTGAGTTTTAGACCTTTGGGTCTTTCTGCCCACTGGGCTGACATCAGCACAGAGGTTGGGCACTGATTTCATTCCACACAGGGTTCAGACACCCAGGCCACAGCTAAGACCTCGCATTCATAGTTTCTTGTAACATTAAAAAAGAAACACTAAAATCCATTTTATTCCCTTGACTTTGTTCTGCTATCCTTGAAAGCACCACACAGTCAGGCGATGAGCCATGACTCTAGACCTTGTCTTTGAGGTCTGCAACTTTGAGTGTTGCAGATAAAATGTGTAGTATCTTCTACAACAGAGATTGCTTCTTTCTGAGGCCAGAACATTAACCCAGGGCTGATTGAGAGGCAGGAGAAGCTGCAGGATCAGCAGCACCATCACAGGGTGAGCTGGCTGCAGCGTGGGCTTTGCTCCTCTCTTCACTTTCTCTGGCTGTGGCCCCCAGGCAATGTGGTGGCCCTGGACACTGGGAGCAGTGCGGATGTGCTGGTGGTCAGTGGGGACAGCCATCTTCTCGCCTTCGTGGGACCCTCCAAGTACGTTGTGACTGTGATGGAGGCCTGCTCGCTGGATGAGGTACCCAGCGGGCTCCCCTCATCCTGGGAGAGGGTGGGAGGACAGCACGGGCTGCAGAGTGCTGTGAGCAGGAAAGGCAGTTCCCATGGGCTGCATCAGATGGGATGGATCGAGGGCTTTGGGCACCAGCAGTTTTGGAGAGGGCCCTTCCTGCACACCAGACACTTCCTCAGGGTGCTTACAGTGAGGTTGGTTTTCCATTCTGTGAGACAGAAACAACAAAGTCAACCCCCTCCATGGCAGGGGTTTGGAACTAGGTGGTCTTTAAGGTCCCTTCCAACCCAAACCATTCTATGATTCTGTGAAGGTTTCTTCTCCAGCTTCAATCCCCTCTAGAAAGATAATTTGAAGAAGTGTTGTGTAGACTGTCAGCTCCAACTTCTCTTTGTGAGCTGCTGTCCTGGGCAGGAGGGACATTGCCTGGATCCTGTAGCCCCTCACTGGGGGGAAGGGAAGGGTCTGGGGGGGTTCCATAGCCTCGTGCTGGGGGAGCCACGAGAGCAATTCTGAGGCTTCTGCAGTATTTCCTCCAGTATTTGTTCAGGATCTCCTTGTTTGACAGCTGCTGAGGGTGGACATCAGCACCCTCGATTTGAACAGCACAGCCTTGGACTCTGCAGTGGGAGTCTGCTTTGCTCCTGTGCCTCGAGGCGAGCTCCTGGTGGCCACTTCTTCCAATAAAATCCTTGTGCTTGATGCAAAAACGGGACGACTGGTGCGAGAGGTAGGACACTGAGAAATTCATGCACTGAGGTCTTGTGTCACAGAAGCCTTGGGAATGTTATGTCACTGTAGCAGGGGGAAATGAGAGAAGAGCTCATTTTAGAGTTCACAGGCTTCAAAGAAACACAGGAGTTGGCAAGCCTGTAGCCATCCTGGTGCGGTCATGCTCAGGATGAGCCTGAGCTTGTTTTCAGTCTTGTTGCATTCCTGCCTTCTTGCTGAAGCATAAGTAAGGATGTAAGTTAGCTTAATGCTGCTGGCGGTGTTTCTTGTCCTCAGGTGTCTCCCGTGCACAAAGTGTCCTGTTCTTCCTTGGCGCTGAGCAAGGATGGCAGGTACCTGCTCACTGCTGGTGACAAAGTCATCAAGGTGTGGGACTATCAGATGCACTCCAATATCAACTTCCAGGTACCGCCCACAAAGGGAGGGAAGGGGGTTGCTGTTGCATTTCTGAACCCCTGGGGAAGAGAGCAGCCCCCTCTGTGGGCCCAGTGTCCCTGTTTGCACAGCTGGAGCAGCTCTACTCTGGAGCCAGGCTGAGAGAGCTGGGCTTGTTCAGCCTGGAGAGGAGAAGGCTCCTTAAGGGGAGACCTTAGAGAAGCTTCCAGTGCCTAAAGGGGCTGCAAGAAAGCTGGAGAGGGGCTTTGGACAAGGACCTGTAGGGAAAGGACAAGGGGGAATGGCTTTAACCTGACAGAGGGGAGATTGAGATGAGCTCTTAGGCAGAAGCTCTTCCCTGTGAGGGTGCTGAGGCACTGGCACAGGGTGCCCAGAGAAGCTGTGGCTGCCCCATCCCTGGCAGTGTTCAAGGCCAGGTCAGATGGGGCTTGGAGCAACCTGGTCTAGTGGAAGGTGTCCCTGCCTGTGGCAGGGGTTTGGAACTGGATGAGCTTTAAGGTCCCTTCCAACCCAAACCAGTCTGGGATTCTATGAAGCCCTATTCCTATGTTGTAATAACACTTGGCACCAAGCACAGGCTGGGCTGCCAAAGCACCGAGCTTAATGAGACCCTCTGTGAACGAGATGTAGGTGTGATCTCTGTGCTAGGAACAGAGCCACCCAGAGAAGAAAATGTCTTGCCCAGTGTTCCTGTAGCTATTGAGAGCTAGTTTTAGATCTTGGGGGGTTTCAGCTCCTGCTTGCTTCTCCAGATGTGTGTGAGGACGGTCAATCCTAGGTTCATCAACCCTAGGTCTGAGCACTTGCAGGTGTGTTGCTGGCCTCTGAGAGGATCTGCTGAGCTGTGTAGACACTGGCTGTGAGGGCACGGAGTGGAGTAACCACCATGCTGATAGGACAGGGTGGTGCTGAAGTTCAGTATGTGTTCTCTCCCAGGTGTACATTGGGCACTCAGAGCCAGTGCGCCAGGTTGCCTTCACCCCAGACCAGCGGCATGTCATCAGTGTTGGAGATGCCATCTTCCTATGGGATTTCCTAGCTCTGCCTGAGGAGAGATCACCACCGACTGGGTAAGTGCTCAGTGCTGGGCAGAGTCTTCCCCTGCCTCCCTTTACTCCCCTGCCCCATCCTCACTTGGTGTAATGCCACTCTCCTGCCTTTTCCAGGCTTCATTCCTCTGAGTCTGTTCCGCTGCTGGGACCAGGTGAGTTTGTCTCCTCCCATGAGTTGACACTGGCAGCTCTTCCACCACTGCTCATCATGGCAGAGGGTAGGGGTTGGGGTTTTATTATTCCTTCCCTTAGGGATTTACACAGCAGTGGGGGGGGGGGGGTAACCAGCTAATTAGCCCCAAAGGATGGTCTCTAACTAGCACCTCTCAGTAGGAGTCTGCCAGGGAGGGCATGTTCTGAGCAGAGCTGCTCTGGGTTTTCTGTTAGGTCTTTCAGCTTTTGCCTTCTGTCTTTCCCTGCCTCCATCTCTTCTGTCTTCTTTTTCCCTGCCCTCATTGTTCCCCTCCCTCTTTCCATCCCTCTCTTTAGTGACATGTTTTACTGGTGGTCTTGGCAGTCTTGGGGTAAAGGTTGGACTTGATCTTAAAGGTCTTTTCCAACATAGTTGATTCTATGATTCTTTCTTGAAGAGCAGAGGAAAAATGGCTTCTCTCATATAGGAGGAAGCTGGAGAAATGAGCTTGGAGGTATCATCATTGATCAGCCCAAGATCATGAGGGAATCGGGGATGAAGGAAATTGTACAAAACCTTTTATTTTCACAGAAGGCAGCTCTGAGATGCTGAAGGATGCCTCTGAGACGCCTCGGCAGGCAGTGCCTCTTCCATTGCTGTCCTCACCACCGTGTCTGGATGTCAGCTCTGTCCACCAAACAGGATGTCAAAGTAAGAAGAGATGCTTGCAGGAAAGGGGAAAAATAATCTTCTTTTAGGAAAAACTCCTTGTGTAGTTGAGCAGTATCCCTGGAGCCATCCCTGCCCATGATCCCCTTCCTGCAGGTTGACAGACCAGGCTGTGCTTTTTTTTCCCTAAGCTGGATAAAGCCAGCCACAGGTGTTGGACTTCAGCACTGCTTTATCCTCTGCTCTCCTCCATGCACTAAGCTGCTGGCACAAGCTTCTGTGAGGGCTACAGTAAATACCTTGTTTGACATACCCAGTAGGAAATGTCTTCTTTGACCTCCACGTGAACAGATGGACTGTTACACATAGCAGGAGGATGACACTGGCAGAAATCAAAGGGTTGTTCACACATGAAGCGGTCCTGAAGGACACGGTGGCTCTCTCCTCCCACCAGGTATCTTTTCCGAGTCAGACAAAGAGGAGGAAGCAGATTTGCCAGGCAGCAGCCAGATGGTGGCGAATGGAGACAAAGATGCGTCAGTCCTTGTGGTGGAACCAGTGAGGAATGAGGAGCTCATTGTGGTGAGGCCCAAAGAGAGGCAGGAGAGGTCGAAGTCTCCTGGAACATTGGCAAGTGGTAAGTCAGAGGTATTGCCATCTTGTACAGAGCATGACCCCTTTGGGACACAGTATGCACAGGCAGCTTGGTCTATCCCTGAAAAATAAAGAGCATTGATATGGTACAGATAGACCTGGACACGTGCTCAGAGTTGTGAGGTGAAGGGCAGCAGCTCTGGGGCTTTCCCTTTGTGTGTGATTTACCAAGAGGAATCAGTATTGAGAGAAGCTCATGCTAGTCCCCAAGACTGCTTGTTTATTCTGGCTCTTTCCCTACTATTGCTTCTAGGCACACCAGAAGCACCTGTTCAGCTTGGAGCCAATATCATCTCTAAGTGGCATGTTCTGTTAAAGCTCTCCATGTCTCTATTAATAGATGTACAGCCCCAAAGCTTCAGCAGTTGGTGGCCCCCTGCCAGAGCAGGCAGGAGCTGTTGGAAAGCTTCAACACAAAACTGTGCCTCTACTTCTTCTATCAAGGATGTCTTTCTAGCAGAGTGGCTTATGCTTTCACAGCAATGTCCAGGGGACAGACACAGCATGGATGCCCAGAGGCTGGTTGCAGTGTGGCGTGGCTGAGCAGGGTGATGGGTGGCAATGGAGGTTCCTTGTTAACTCCTGGAAAGCTGGTGCTTTTCCTACAGCCAATTGTGTAGGAGCACATCCGATGCTGCAGTCTGATTTCTGCCTTGTGTGTGTGTATGTACACACATAGAATACCAGACTGGTTCAGGATGGAGGGACCTTAAAGTTCATCCAGTTCCAACCCCCTGCCATGGGCAGGGTCACCTTCCACTAGACCAGGTTGCTCCAAGCCCCATCCAGCCTGGCCTTGAACACTGCCAGGGATGGGGCAGCCACAGCTTCTCTGGGCACCCTGTGCCAGTGCCTCAGCACCCTCACAGGGAAGAACTTCTGCCTAAGAGCTCATCTCAATCTCCTCTCTGTCAGGTTAAAGCCATTCCCCCTTGGCCTGTCCCTACAGGCCCTTGTCCAAAGCCCCTCTCCAGCTTTCTTGCAGCCCCTTTAGGCATTGGAGCTGCTCTAAGGCCTCCCCTTAAGGAACCTTCTCTTCTCCAGGCTGAACCAGCCCAGCTCTCTCAGCCTGGCTCCAGAGCAGAGCTGCTCCAGCCCTTGCAGCATCTCCGTGGCCTCTTCTGGACTCTCTCCAACAGCTCCACTTCCCTCTTGTGCTGTTGCCCCAGAGCTGGATCAGGACTGCAGGGGGGTTCTCCCCAGACCGCAGCAGAGGGGAGAATCCCCTCCCTCTCGTGCTGCTCATGCTCTGGGGGTGCAGCCCAGCACACAGGGGAGTTCTGGGCTCAAGTGCTCACTGAAGCTGGGTCATAGGAAGCTGCTCATCGACCAGCACCCCCAAGTCCTTCTCCTCAGGGCTGCACCATCCAGTCTACCCCTGTCTGTGTTTGCGTTTGGGTACATACACAGCATGTGAGCAGCTCACAAGCCACAGCCTAGGTGCTGCTCCCAAATCGTTCTTGAGTAGCAGCATCCCAGAGGTAACAACTGTTTAATTCTCTGTGTGGCAGAACCCAGAAAGCAGACCACAAACCCCAAACCCCAGTGCTCCGTGCGCCCAGATTCCTACCGGCATTTCACTCCTTGCTTCAAGGCATCAGTGCTTCCCAAGGTGAGAATTGTACCTGGGCAGGTGGTGAATGCGCATTTTGGGGCTGGGATAGGTGGGTTTTCCAAACTATTTCTGGTTTATTCTGTTTGAAAGCAGTTTGTGAAGTGTACTCCTGGGCCTGATGCTCTATTACAAACTCCTCACGATAGTTACCCTTTCTCCTCTACATGCGGCTCTTTCCAGACTAGTGGAAAGTGAGTTGTGATCAACTCTTTTTCCGTTCAGAAAATCTGCATACATTTTTATTCCAAACAAATGCAAATGGCATGTGCTATTGAAAGGGAAAGCCGAGTGAGCAGTGGAGTGATTCATTTCACACCCGTGTTTGCGAGCAGATGCGTTGGCAGAGCAGGCTGGGGAAGGCAACCATTGAGCGTGGGGAGGATGGGCAAAGCCCAGCTCTGGCTCTGTGAACAAACAGAGCAATAATAAAACAGAGACTTAACCTTTTCCTAAGCTCTCAGCTGTTCACTGTGCTTCTCTGCCCCTCTACCCAGCAGCCTTTCCCTTCCCCACTGTCTACACCCCAAGTGAGCAAAACCCACCAAACTCTTTGCCAGCAGGATTAGCAGCTGCTAATCAGTTGCTGCCAGCCGTTTGTGCCTCATCTGAGAGCACCTGTGCCTGGTTTTGCTGGTGCAGTCTCCCTTTTGTATGTGTAAGTGTGCTTTGGTACTCATCTGTTGATGTGTTGAACCTGAATGCTGTGAGTGCTGGCATGAATTTGGGTGTTGTGTGTAGGACAATGTGTGTGTGTGCTTGCACTCAGGCTTTTTCTCATGTGGGTGTTGAATGCACCTGCCTGGACCATTCCTCTAGAGCTTATTTTAAACCAATGTCTATTTTTCTTGCAGAGTTTCTTACCTCCTCCAACTGGCAGTGAGGTCTTGAAGCTGAAAGCAGTGATCGGCTACAATGGGAATGGCAGAGGGAATATGGTGTGGAACCCAGACACAGGTACACCAGGAAGGCTCTGGAGGGGTGGGAGACATGTGCACTGTTCCAGGTTATGATCTTCTAGCTTTTGGGTTGGGATCTTTGCTTTAACACAGAGGTTCTTCGCATTACTAAAATGCAGTAACAGGATTGGAACTGGATGATCTTTAAGGTCCCTTCCAATCCAAACCAGTCTGTGAAACACTGGCACATGTTGCCCAGAGAGGTGGTGGATGCACAGTCCTTGAGAGGTTCAAAGTCAGACTGGATGTGGTTCTGGGCAACCTGATCTAGTTGAAGATGTCCCTGCTCATTGCAGGGGGGTTGGACTAGGTGACCTTTGAAGGTCCTTTCCACCCAAACTATTCTATGATTCTCATTCTGCTCTGTTCAGCCTGGAGAAGGGGAGACCTTATTGCAGGCTTTCAATACCCTGAGGGGGCCGACAAGAAATCTGGAGAGGTCCTTTTTAAAAGGACATGTAGTGGCAGGACAATGAGGAATGGATTCAAGTTAAACAAGGGGATACTTAGATTTTATCTTAGGCAGAAGTTTTTCCCTGTGAGGGTGCTGAGGTGCTGGCGCAGGGTGCCCAGAGAAGCTGTGGCTGCCCCATCCCTGGCAGTGTTCAAGGTAAGGTTGGACGGGGCTTGGAGCAACCTGGTCTGGTGGAAGATGTCCCTGCCCGTGGCAGGGGGTTGGAGCTGGATGAGCTTTATGGTCCCTGCCAGCCCAGACCAGTGTGGGATCCTTTGCTACTGGCAAATGTTAGCTGAGACAGGCAGGTCAGGCTTCAGTTGTTGAGTGGATAGAGCAGAAGGGAAAGCTTTCACTAAGACCATCTTTCCTCCTTCCTGTAGGCTGGAGGGATGCCCAGCAGCTTTGCTCAGGTTAGGGGAAGGGAGATTTTACTCCACCCCCAACCTGATGGGCAGGATGCTAACATGCTGTGTTTCTACACAGTCAGCTTTTACCTCTTAGCAAAACCCAGAATTTAACTGAATTGTGAGGTAGTGGGTGCTGTATGTGAAGCCTTTACGTGAAAACATCCCATTTCCTCCTCCGCAAGGCTTCTTCGCTTACACCTGTGGCTGCATCATCGTGGTGGAAGACCTGCACTCGGGATCACAGAATCACTGGCTTGGCCACGCAGAGGAGATCTCCACACTCACTGTCAGCCATGATGCCCAGGTAGGAGAAACTTCTGCTACCCCAGGCTGGGTTTTGTCCATGTCGCTTTGGGATAATGGAATGTTACAGGCTTAAAGCCTGTTTGTCTGTTCCTCCTTCTGTGTGGAGACCTGGGATTATGGAAATGCAATGAATGGTTTTCAAAGAATCATAGAATCAACCAGGTTGGAAAAGACCTTGAAGATCAAGTCCAACCATTCCCCAGCACTGCCAAGGCCACCACTAAACCATGTCACCTCATCTACATGGTTTTTGAACACTTCCAGGGATGATGATTCCACCACTTTCCTGGGAAGCCTGTTCCAATATTGGAGCCTCATCCCTTGTTCTGGCTCAGTAGTGACATTAAAGGCTGCTCCCTCCCTCCTGGTGATGGTCCATTCCCTCCTGCCATCAGCTGACAGTTGTTCTCACAGGATTTTCCATGTGCCAAACATCACTTTAATTTGAGACTAATTGTTTCTAAGACTAACAAAGTATCTCTAATTACTTACCAAGGTTTCAGTGACAACATATTGTTCTGTTAGGTTCTTGCCTCTGCCTCAGGAAAGAGGGATGGAGACTCCTATTGTCAGATCTGCGTCTGGAACGTCCCAGATGGGCTTTGCACAGCAAGTCTCTTCCACCATGAGACCCAAGTGCAAGCCATGGCATTCTCTCAGGATGATCGATTCCTTGTCACCCTCGGTGAGTACGCCCGTAACATGAGGTGTGGGACACCCTACAGCAGACATCTCATGGGAGGGTGATGCTATAACTGTGCAAGACCGTGACACATGCACCAGGCTTGTGGCTATGAAGTTGTTCCTTGGTAGCCTTGGGGCAATGCATAATGCAGCATGTAATACTGGAGGTGATCTTGGATCTTCCTGGGAGTGATCACCTGCAGGGGCACTTTTTCCAGCTGAGTGTGGTCCAGGACACTGTCACCAGTGTTTCAAGGGGAGGCATGTATCCTGTGCATGAATATGGAGTTTCCCCAGCTCCCCTTCAGTCCTTTCTCATTGCCCCAGCTAGCTAGTTTTCCTTCAAGTTACAGCTTGCTTCTGGCTCACAAGTCCTTGTTAAACCTGTATAAATAGTTTCCAGTTACTATATATAGTGTCCAGGGGGAAAAGCCTTCTTCTGGTCTTATTGCTGCTTAGGTGGCATTGCACAGAAGTTGCCAGGCTTCAAACTGTGAGCCCTCTGCCAGGCAGCAGTGCCAGCACTAGATGGACACTCAAGCTGTCTGTTTAGTTTAGGCAGGGGGCATTTGAAGGACAAATATGCAATTAGTAAGCTCTTGTTTTGCATGAGACAGGACCTGTGGAGCAGGCAACAGGCTTACTCTGGGCTGGTGAGTCTGCCCTTGGAACAAATCAGCCTTTGCTGGAGAGAAAGAGCTATGTGCTCTCCACGGAGCAGTGTGGGAGAGCAGCCTCCTCCTCCAGCTCCAGTCTGGGCTGCAGAGGAGAGAAAAGCTGGGAGTCTCCACTAAACTTGTGGACCTTGAGCAAGGCAGCAGGGAGCACTGTGCTCCGGAGCTGTCTGGGAGCTGGGGATGTGACTCTCCAGGGCAGCCTTGGATGCAGCGATCATGAGATGCTCGAATTTGAGATCCTCAGGACAGTGAGAAGAGCGTGCAGCAAGCTCACTGCACTGGACTTCAAAAGAGCAGACTTTGGCCTCTTCAGGAACCTGCTTAGGAAGGTTCCGTGGGATACAGCCCTAGAGGGCAGGGGGGCCCAAGACTCTTGGTTGATATTCAAGGTTCACCTGCTACAAGCTCAGGAGTGTTGCATCCCAACCAGAAGGAAGTGCAGCAGGAGGGCCAGGAGACCTCCTTGGATGGATAAGGAGCTCCTGAGGAAAATTCAAATGAAAAAAGAGGCTTATAATAAGTGGAAGCAAGGACAGGTGGCATGGGAAGAGTACAGGGATGTTGTCTGGGAAGCTAGGGACCAGGTTAGGAAAGCTAAGGCCCAGTTAGAATTAAACTTAGCTAGAGGTATTAAGGATAACAGGAAGGGATTCTACAGGTACATAGCAAATAAAAAACAGACTAGGGAGAATGTAGGCCCCCTCAGGAAGCTCTCAGGAGAACTGGCTACACAGGATTTGGAGAAGGCTGAGGTTCTGAATGACTTCTTTGCCTCGGTCTTCACTGGCAAAGGCTCTGACCAAACCACCCAAGTCTTGGAAGGCAGATGCAGGGACTGTGAGAATGAAGACCTTGGGCCCACTGTAGGAGAGGAACTGGTTTGAGACCATCTTAAGAACCTGAACGTGCACAAGTCCGTGGGTCCTGATGAGATCCATCCGTGGGTCCTGAAGGAGCTGGTGAATGAAGTTACGAAGCCGCTGGCCATCTTATTTGAGAAATCATGGCAGTCAGGTGAAGTTCCCGATGACTGGAAAAAGGGAAATATAACCCCCATTTTCAAGAAGGGGAAAATGGATGACCTGGGGAATTACAGACCAGTCAGTCTCACCTCTGTGCCTGGCAAAATCTTGGAGCAGATTCTCCTGGATGGCATGTTAAGGCACATGAAAAACAACAAGGTGCATGGTGACAGCCAGCATGGCTTCACTAAGGGGAAATCCTGCCTGACCAACTTGGTGGCCTTCTATGATGGGGTTACGGAACTGATGGACAGGGGTAGAGCAGTTGATGTCATCTACCTGGACTTGTGTAAAGTGTTTGACACTGTCCCACACGATATCCTTGTCTCTAAATTGGAGCGACATCAATTTGATGGATGGACCACTCGGTGGATAAGGAGCTGGCTGGCTGGCCCCACACAAAGAGTTGTGGTCAATGGCTGGAGACCAGTAATGAGTGATGACCCTCAGGGATCGGTGTTGGGACCGGTCTTGTTCAACATCTTTGTCGCTGACATGGACAGTGGGATTGAGTGCGCCCTCAGCAAGTTCGCCGATGACACCAAGCTGTGTGGTTCAGCTGATAGGCTGGAGGGAAGGAATGTCATCCAGAGGGACCTTGACACACTTGTGAGGTGGGCTGATGCCAACATCATGAATTTTAACCATGCCAAGTGCAAGGTCCTACACCTGGATCGGAGCAATCCCAGGCACAGCTGCAGGTTGGGCAGAGAAGAGATTCAGAGCAGCCCTGCGGAGAAGGACTTGGGGGTGTTGGTTGATGAGAAAATGAACATGAGCAGGCAGTGTGCGCTTGCAGCCCAGAAAGCCAACTGTATCCTGGGCTGCGTCAAAAGGATGATGGAGCTAGGTTTTTTCAGTGATGTCCAGTGACAGGACAAGGGGCAATGGGTGTAAACTGGAGCATAGGAGGTTCCACGTGAACATCAGGAAAAATTTCTTTACTGTGAGAGTGACAGAGCACTGGAACAGGTTGCCCAGGGGGGTTGTGGAGTCTCCTACATTGGAGATATTCAAGGCCTGCCTGGACAAGTTCCTGTGTGATGTACTCTAGGTTACCCTGTTCTTGCAGGGGGGTTGGACTAGATGATCTTCTGAGGTCCCTTCCAACCCTTGGGATTCTGTGACCAGAAGGTCGAAGGAGGTGATCGTGCCCCTCTGCTCTTGTGAGACCTCACCTGGAGTATTGTGTGCAGTTCTGGTGTCCTCAACATAAAAAGGACATGGAACTGTTGGAACAAGTCCAGAGAAGGACCACGAGGATGATCAGGGGACTGGAGCACCTCCTGTATGAAGACAGGCTGAGGAAGTTGGGGCTGTTCAGCCTGGAGAAGAGAAGGCTGTGTGGAGACCTCATAGCAGCCTTCCAGTATCTGAAGGGGGCCTATAGGGATGCTGGGGAGGGACTCTTCATTAGGGACTGTAGTGATAGGACCAAGGGGTAATGGGTTAAAACTTAAACAGGGGAAGTTTAGATTGGATATAAGGAGGAAATTCTTTCCTGTTAGGGTGGTGAGGCACTGGAATAGGTTGCCCAGGGAGGTTGTGAATGCTCCATCCCTGGCAGTGTTCAAGACCAGGCTGGACGAGGCCTTGGGTGATATGATTTAGCATAAGGTGTCCCTGCCCATGGCAGGGGGGTTGGAAATTGATGATCTTAAGGTCCTTTCCAACCCTAATTATTCTATGATTCTATGTTTGCCATCACCAAAGCTGGTGCCTTCTGCCACCCAGATACAGTGGCTTCCATTCAGGTCAGCTCCCATCTCAGCTGTGACCTCAACAGAGGTCTGATTTCCAGATTGTTGTTCTCCTTGAGTGCACAGTACTACTGAAGGGCTTGTGTGGGGCACACATGAGGTGTGCAGTAGCTCATGAGGATGTAGAAACAGCAGGAAACTTGCTCTTGCCTTGAAATCCTTACTGAGCGCTGGCTGCAGACCCTCTGCTGGGCCAGATTTGCTACAAACTCCACTGTGAAGTGATAGTTATATCTGTCCTCAACTTGGATAAGGACCCATCACACTGTGCAGCTTTTGCTGAGTGTGCAAGAAGCCGTGTCCACTCCTGGGATGGTGTTTGCAGCAGTCATCTCCGAACAACAGGATGAGGGAGTGACACAGCTGATGCAAGAGCACAGTGCATATGCTGTGAGCAGCCTGGGGCTGCAGAATTTCCTCCTACTCTCTTTCATGTTCTACCTAGGGGATTACAGCGATCAAACCATTGCTCTGTGGAACACCTACACTTACGAGCTCATGTGGTCAACTTGTATCTCAGAGCCAGTCCATGACGTGGCTTTTAGTCCTTTTTCTCACAGAGAACTGGCCTGCGTGGGGAAGGGAACTGTGATGTTCTGGCTGTTGGAGCAGCAGGGAGCTGATGTCCACCTCAAGGTAAACCCCAGTTTTACCTTCTTTTATAATTCATGATCACAGAATCATAAAATAGTTTGAGTTGAAAGGGAACTTAAGATCATCCAGTTCCAAACCCTTGCCATGGCTGGAACTAGACCAGGTTGCTCTAAGCCCCGTCCAACCTGGTCTTGAACACTGCCAGAGATGGATCATTTACCACCTCTGACTTCTTTCCCAAGCCCCTCATTGAGTGTGATGTAGGCTCTACCCCCGGAGTCTGTAAGAGCTGATGATTTCTCTTAAGGAGATGATGTTGGCTGGTCATTAGTGGCTTTCAGTTATATTTGAATTATATAATACATGAATTTAGGAGGGGAGGAGGGTTATTTTACCTGATCTAGGTAAGCACCATATTCTCTTTGACACTGTATGTGCTCCTGCAGGTTCATCGTGCCCCTGCCCCAGATGTGCTGGGGCCAGTGGAGCTGACCTCTCTCTGTTATGGCGCTGACACTCTTCTTTATAGTGGGACCAACTCAGGCCAGATCTGTGTGTGGGACACTGAGACTAATTGCTGCTTCATGACATGGGAGGCCGACGAGGGCGAGATCGGTGGGTGCAGGTGCCCTGGGCATTTCTTGGGGCTGTAAGAAGGAAAGAAGCGTTGAGCTTGCAGTCCTCCAGTTTCAGCTGTGCTTGGAAAATGAGTTTGCTGTGTCAGATGCAGGGTGCATGGCGTGGTGATGGCTCTGTGTCCTGGGTTTCCTTGGGGGGTTCACCTCTAGTCTGTAAAAACACTGCCCTGCCCGAATGAATCAGTGGCGTGGCTGTGAGGAACACACGGTGGGTGATGGCTGGGAGCAGTGGATGTTCACAGGTGCCCTTTGTCCCCTCCATGGTCTCCCAGGTGTGCTGGTGTGTCGGCACAACAGGCTGCTGAGTGGCAGCAACGTGAAACGCATCCGCCTGTGGGCAGTGGCTGCTGTGCAGGAGCTGAGGCTGAAAGGTCCCGATGCCAGGTAGGAGGTGGTGGCCCTTGTGCCTGTCTCACCATGCTCTGGAGATGCTCTTCCCCTCATCCAGCCGCTCCCTGGACCTGTCTGAGAGGTGGCTTTTCACGGACAGACATCAGCTCTGCCTGCAACCACGCTGCTCCTGTTGCTCTTCATCCTTAGCTTTTCCTGTCCATGCTGTGACTACTGATGCTTTCTGTCTGGATCTTTTTACTGAACTTTTGCCACAGGTAGCTGAACCCTCTTAATACTGGAAATGGGTGGAGTTTGACATGCCTGAAGTTTGTGTCAGTGATTTGTAGGAATTCCTGGTGAAATAGGAACTGGTGAAAATACATTGCTTCTGTTTCTTCTCTCACACTGCTGCATCCCCTTTTTTTTTAATTTTCTTTCCTCTTTTTTTTCTTCCTTCTCTTCCTTCTTTCTCTCTTCCATTTCTTCCCTCTCTTCCATCTCTTCCTTATTCTCTTATCTTCCCTATAAAAGATGGTTGTAGTGCAAATGCAAGAGTAGTCACTGTTAATGTAGAGGAGCCCCTCACTGAACCATTTACCTGCAAACACATGACAAGGCTCACTGGAAAGTTGCATTTAAAGGAGGCAAAGTGGCCATTTCAACATTTGAGCCCGTTCTTCTCGTGTCCTCCTCTCCTCCAGGTCTAACTTGGTCCTGTTAGAACATGAGATCACCCTCGACGGGACGATAGTCAGCGCAGCCTTTGATGACTCTCTGGAAATGGGAATTGTGGGCACCACGGCAGGAACCCTGTGGTACATCAACTGGACGGAGAGCACAAGCATCCAACTGATCAGCGGCCACAAGAACAAGGTTAGAGGTGGTTTGCCCCACAGAGCAGCAAGTGCTGTGTGTGCTGCCCGTGCCCTGGGAAGCACGTGTGGGCTGCAGCAGCACTCCCTGGTCTGGCCATTGGAGAGGTCAAGGAGCTGCAGGGCTGATGGGATGGCATGGAGGAGTCTACGGGGAACTGTGCACACTGAGGAGTCCAGCCTGAAGAAGTCTGAGCTCATCCATTCTTAGTCCTCAGTGTTCAACAGTCTCAGGCTGGGAGCAGCTGTGGGCCTTTCTGCTGGAGCACAAAGATGCAGTTTGCAATCACTAAGGCTTCATTACTGAGTACTGCAGTTTCTGTTTGCCAGCTGGACATCCATAGTGAATAACATTTGCTTTGCCAAAGCACAAAACCAAATCACCCAACTCTCTTTGTCTTTAGGACTTCTTGGCTGATGTTTCCCATGGGAGAGGTCCTGGAGGGGATGAGAGGGGGAGAGGAGCATCTGTAGATCCCTGTTCCCCATCTTGTTTCTTGCTGTAGGTGACTGAAGTGTGCTTCAGTCCTGATGAGACTCACTGTGCAACGTGCGGGGAGGACGGTAGTGTGAGGATCTGGTCTCTGGGGAGCATGGAGCTGGTGGTACAGTTCCAAGTGCTCAACCAGGTAATTGTAGTACATTAAGTTCTTCCTCCTGGCAGAGGGCACAGGAGGAAGGAATCCTTGCTTGGGGTTGCAAGGACTGCTATGTCCTCACGGAGGAGATAAAGCTGGGGAAATACTTGTAGGTGGAGCCTGTAGTGCACTGGACTGCACAGTCCTGCTGTCCTCACTGTGTCATCAGGTCTCTGCCCTGGTTCCTTTGCAGAGCTGCCAGTGCCTGGCCTGGAAGCTTCATCCTGTCGTTGCATGGGGAGCTGAGAGCCAGCACGTAGTGTCAGGGTACAGTGATGGCACCATCCGTGTGTTCAACATTTCCAGGACAGAGCTGGAGCTGAAAATGCAACCCCATGCCGTAGCACTGACCGCGATTGCCTACTCCACAGATGGTGAGGCTGCCTCTCACACGAGTGTGGAACATGGCTTGGTTGCGCCCGGGTTACCCTGACCTCCAAGTGCTCTGCACACCATCAACCTGCCCAAAAACATCTCATCATACCCAGCCCTGACTCAGTTGTTCCCAACCTTTCACAGTGTTTTGGGACATTGGTATCCATGATCTCAGACCTTTCTCCTGTGAGCTTTTTCTTCTCCTACGAGAAGTGTCACATTCTTTTTCTCTCTCTACCCACAGGAGAAATGATCTTATCAGGGGGCAAAGATGGGCTCGTGGCTGTCAGCAGCCCTCGCACTGGAATGACCATCCACGTCCTTGCTGACCACAAAGGCTCCCCCATCACTGCTCTGCAGTGCACCATGAAGCAGGTGAGACCTCACCTTTGCCCTGGCCCTGTGCAGCAGCAAGTCCCCGTGGATCACTGCACAGCCATGTCAGTCAGTGAGTCTGCTTCTTTGTCCCTTGCTTTTCCTCTTTGGGCCATCAACCCCTCCAATAGCTTCTGTTCAGTTTTTCTGGCTCTGTACTGTTCCTCTTTGCAGCTGGGAAGACTTGGCTGTGCAGCAGTGTGATGGTTTTCGCATCTCCTTTGTCCTCCTCTTTATAGGGAGTCTTCTTCCTTTGTGCAGTGGAAATGACAATAATTTTGCCTAAGTACTTAGGCTTTAAAATCATCCACACTGCAAGGCTGGGCTCCCTGGGAATTCTAGACTTGGGAGATCCTCCTCAGTTTTAGGTAAAGGGTGTTGTTAGGGGACACACAGTATCAGCAAGAACTGCCCTATGACATGAGCGGGTCCAGAGGGCATCCCAGGGAAGAGATCCATGTTGCTCAGGCCAGGCACTCTCCCTCCTCCAGCAGCCTCTTCTGCTGGGTCTTTCAGCCCAGAGCATGCTGCTGGTTCCTACACCACAGCCTCATTCTCCTTTTGGACTCTAAGAGACTTTAAGCACTGCCCAAATGGAAGTGAATTGATCCCCTGTGGCATAAGGCCTGTGTTCCCACCAGCTCCTGCCCCACACTCACTCTGGTGGCAGCTTCTGGACTAAACTTCAAGCTTAAACTGACAGCACTGTGCTCATCTTCTGCAGTACCGGGACTTTGGGGTGGAAGGAGGCGAGCTCTGGCTGGCCACCAGCTCAGACCGGCGGGTCAGCATCTGGGCCTCCGACTGGCTGAAGGACAAGTGTGAGCTGCTCGACTGGCTCAGCTTCCCTGCTCCTGCCAGCCCCGAGGTGAGTGTTCCACTGCCAGCCTCTGCCTGTGGCAACGGTTTGGTGGCACAAGTCTCAGAACCAGCAAGCTGGAGAAGGAATGCCTGAAGGCTCTGAGCAGGATGGGGCCAAAGAGAGAGGGTGAACTTCATTAGTCATAGAATGATAGAGTGGTTTGGAAGGGACCTTAAAGCTCATCCGGTTCTGAGCCCCTGCCATGGGCAGGGACACCTTCCACTAGACCAGGTTGCTCCAAGCCCCATCCAACCTGGCCTTGAACACTGCCAGGGATGGGGCAGCCACAGCTTCTCTGGGCACCCTGTGCCAGTGCCTCAGCACCTTCACAGGGAAGAACTTCTTCCTTATCATTTTAGTCATCTTCGTTAATTCTGCTGCTTGTAGAGTATCTTGGCAATGCACTTTCTTGTCTGTTGAAGAACAGTGGGAATTGGAGCAGTGCCTGACTTCTGGGAAGCACTGACTTTGTAAGCGTGAGGAGACAAAACTGTTCCTGTGCTGTGCAGAACAGAGCACAGGCGGCAGTGAGCACAGCACCCAGGAGAGGCACCTCATTATGAGCATGCTGCCAACTTTGACACTCCCAAAGAGCATGAATACTCAGAGCCAGGAGCCCAGGGACCAGCTCATAGACCAAGTACTCAGCCTTGTTTGTCTGTGATGCTTTGCAGAACCCTTTGGCTCCAACCCAGGTGTGAGACTTAGGTGGCAGAACACTTGCTAGAAAGAGAGGAGGGTGTGTATCAGATGTGGAGATGATCCCTTGTTCCCAAAATGCCGGTTTTCCTCTCCATGAAAGAAGCTCCCCACAGTGAACAGGGAAAGGGATGATCTTGCATCCACTATTAAAGATCTATCTTATGGGCCCTAATTTCTTGTGTTAAACTGATCCATAACCAAATCCCACCTTCAAACCCATGTACCAATAATACCTCGAAGGAAATTCAACCCTCCTGTGTCCCGCTCCTACAACAGTAAACAGTTTACTTTGGGTTTTTGTGGCGGTGTGTGGTTGCTCATTGCTTTGCCAGGAACATGGCTGAGATGGCAATGCAAAAGGGAGGAAACAGCCTCCAGCATACTAATTTCATACTGCTCAGACAACACAGCCCCAGGATGGGTGTCCTCATGCTCTCCTTTTGACCCCCACTGTGTTGGGTCAGGCTGGAGAAGCTGGCCTCAGTTTTCTTCCCTTTGGTTCCCCTCACCAGGGTCTGGACACCTTTCCGCCCAGCCTGGCCGCGTTCTGCCCATGGGAACATGGCACCCTGGTCTACGTCGGCTTTGGGAGGCAGAAGGAAGCCTTGTTTTACAGTCTGCACAAGAAACAGGTACTTGTGCCCTGCCAGGGCAGCTCGGGTACTTGTTAGCCACTGCGGGGCCATGGCCACATGGAATGGAGTGCAGTGGGGGGAGAGGCAACACTGCCCTGTGTGTAAAGCCATGCCTCAAGGTGTGAGGTGGGCCCAGGTGAGCGGCGGCTCAGGGCAACAGCTTTTCATCTCAGAACCTTCAGGGGCCCTGGTCTGGGCAGGCTGCCAGCCCTGCTGCTGCCTTTCCATCCCAGTGGAGGGGAAGGCATTTGCTTTCAGGAGCACCAACACTAAATCTTTGAGTCAAGTCTCCTCTGGGAAGTCAATGCCTTTGGCAGGTTTCCGAACTCTGAGAGGTGTTGTGCATCTGTCAGCCTCCCCTCTGAGAGGAGCCCTTTGCCCTCATAAGAACCGTCACTGCAGCAGCTCTGGTCTCCCGCCTTCTTTCTGAGGTGCTGTTTCTCTTGCTGGAGCATAGGTAGTCATGAAGATCCCCTTGCCATACTTTGCCACGTCGCTCAGCCTGTCTCCTGCAGCACGATTCATGGCTGTTGGCTTCGGGGGTGAGTACTGGAGAGTGCTGTGGACTCTGCTACCCAGGCTACCTTTTGGTGGGGAGGGATGTCCCCTTCTTCCTGTGAGTGGGGGAAAACAAGTGTCCTCTTTTCTTTAAACAAGCAGCCTGTATCCTCAGAGCTGGGAGCTGTGGTCCTGGGCAGGGTATGCATTGGGCAAGGAGAAAGTTCTGGGCAACTCCTAGGTCAGAAATGAGATGCATGAGCTCAGTCCTGTTTGTCAGTGAGCAGGGTTTGTCACTTGAATGATGACTTGGGGTTAGGAACTGTCTTTATCTGTGGCTGTGTGAGCTACAGCCCAAGAGGCAGAAGGGACTTGCCCACAGCCAATCTGGGACAGTTGGCACCCTGCTCTCAAGGGTACCTTGCTCCTATAGCTGTTTGTACCTGCCTGACGAGGCAGCACGTCCATGCTGTGCTGAGCTCCATCCCTGCCCCAGAGCTGTGGGGCACCTGCTGAGCCCAAGACCGGCTGTTTTAGGGGGCTATGAGCTAGCAGAGCTGCACCAGTGTGTTCCGCCATACCCATCACTGCCCTTGGACAGCCTGATACACAGCAGGGAGCTGTGCCATCACACTCTCTCCCTGTTACTAGCCAGTAGTTGCCTACTTGCCTTATCAGGAGCTTGTCCCTGCCCCTCACCGGGCTGTCTGTCAGCTTAGCACTGGGGTGATGGGACCGGTGCTAGTCCCAGCGCTCCTGCCCTCGGCTGACCCCTGCTCTCCCCACAGCCCGGCTGCTGCGGCTGCTGCGCTGCCCCGGCGAGGCTCAGGACTACGCCGGCCACGATGACGCCGTCCACCGCTGCTGCTTCGCCCCTTCGGGCCGCCGCCTCCTCACGGCCTCGCACAGCGCCGTCCTGCTCTGGGAGCTCACTGGCGGCTGAGCCGCAGCCCCCGGGCTCGCGGCGCTCCTCCAGGAGCCGGCGCGGCCATGTCGTTCCGCGGGCCGGGACCCGGGACCCGGGACCCGGCTCCGCCGCCTCGGCACCAGGCTCTGGGACAGGCCCCGGCTAGGCCCGGACGCCAACGTTCCCCTGGCTGGGTCGGGTGCGGAGTGTGTCTGACGGCTCCATCCGCCGTCCCACCCTTTGTTTTTGTTTAATAAAAACACCGAGAGCCGACGGGTTTGGGGTGCTGCGCGACGCGCTCCGCCCGCCCGCCCGGGGGCGCCGCTCCCTGCCCGCCGCCGCTCTGTGCCGCCGCTCGCTGGTGCGGCCGGAAGCGGAAGGTTGTGGCGGGGAGGGGGCGGCCCCGGTAGCGGCGGCGGCGGTGCCGACATGAAGCGGGACGTGCGGATCCTGCTGCTGGGGGACGGTGAGCCCCAGGGTGCGGGAGGGCGGCTGCGGCCGGCCCCGGGAGCAGGGTTCTGCCTGCCCCGAGTCTGGAGGCTCCGGCGTCCTCCCTCTCTCCCCGATGGCTGCCTCCAAGCGGGCCGGGCTGCGTCGTCCTCCGCCCTTGGCTTCCCGCTGGGAGAGGGCCCCGCGGCCGGGCCGGTGCCAGCGTGCTGCCTTTCTCTCCTAGCCCAGGTGGGGAAGACGTCCCTGATCATGGCCCTGGTGGGAGAGGAGTTCCCGGAAGAGGTGAGCGGCAGCGGCGGGACGCTGTGTCCCGGGAGGCGGCCGTGGGGCTGCGGCGGGTGAGCGGGGGGCTTCCGCCGGAATGGTGCTGTCTCCGGTCTGCACTCTAATCCCTGCCCTGCGGAGGATTGTAGGGACCTGGCAGGCCTCGCTCCCTGCTGCTGGGGTCTGTGTGGCACAGTGGACCATTGGGCACAGCCTTGCCGCACAGAGTGGAGCCATTTGTTCCCCAGCTCTGGCCTTTCCCTGGTGGCACCAGCACAAAGCCTTTAGAAGGGGTTTGCACCACGTTCCCTATCCTGTGCCCATCTGGAGACAGGCTTGGTGCTTTGAGCTGGGCCACCTGTGAGGAGCAGCACCCAGCTGGCCCCATGGAGCCTCCACATGGGTAGCTTGCTGTCCCATCATGGTGTGGGTAGGAAAACGGGATCGTTCTGGCCAGGCGTGTTTGTCCTGTGCTGTCAGGTGGCTTCCCCGCTGCCCACGAGCAGATGGTGCCCTCTGCAACATTTCTGCTGGGAAAACATCAGCTCTGGGGGCTTGGGGGAGGACCGGCCCTGAGCACCTTCCTGTGCTCTCATGGCAGAGCCTGGACAATCAGATTAGAGCTTCTCCCAGCTGCCAGGAGGTCTGTCTGGAGAGCTGGGGGAGTGCTGAGGGCTTATCTGGAGCAGCAGCATGGGAGCAGTACTGGAGAGGCAGCTTCCCCAGCTTCCTGCAGCAAGCTGTGGTGGCAGCTGCAGCCCAGGGAGTCAGGAAAGAAGCCTTCCCTGGTGTGGAGCTCATCTCATCCCAGCATCGAGGGAGCTGGGGAGCAGTGACACTGGGCTCTGAAGTCCCTTGTTGTCATTCCTCTCGTCTGTGTTGGGCTGGAGTGGAGGCTGTTGGCTTTGCAGGTGCCACCTCGTGCAGAGGAGATCACGATCCCGGCTGATGTCACCCCAGAGAAGGTCCCCACACACATAGTGGATTACTCAGGTATGGCCTGTGTCCCCTCCCTTCTCCACTCCCTGCCTGGCTGAGGGGAGCAGGAAGGGGTCCAGTTGATGATGGGCTCTTCTTCTTTCAGAGTCCGAACAGACGGAGGATGAGCTGCAGGAGGAGATCTCTAAGGTGAGCAGGGCTGGACAGGGGTGTTGCAGGACTGCTCACTCTCCCTCTTAGCCAACCAGAGACACACAGGTTAATGCTATGGGTTTGTTTAATCCTTCCCTGTATGTAATCTAGTGTGTGGCTTGTCCCAGCCCTCTGGGGATTCTCTGGAAAGAGAGCAGCAGGGGGCAGCCCACCAGGAGGTAGAAGAGGCTGGTGAGCAGAGGACATGCTCTCAGCCTCAGGATGTTCCCCGTGGACTCAGAAGAGGGAAGAAGTAGTTGCTGAGCTTGGATGAGCCTCTCCTGCTCCCTTCATTAGGTCCTTATGGTTGCCTGGTGAAGCAGTCGCCCAGAGGAATTGGTTTGGGAGCTGGAGCCCTGGGGAGTGCTGGGCAGGGAGGAATGAGGACTCCCATGTGTTTGGGAGCAGCCATGGAGCCATTTGGCTGGCTGGGGTGGGCCCAGCTGGTCTTCCCTGCCCTGGGATTAACCCTGGCTCTGCAGAGGGGAGGACCTCTTGATTATGAGTAATAAAACTGCCTCTCTTCTGCATGTCTCACATGCACAGAGCTATTTAATATTTCCATCCACAGGAGTCTTGTTTCCTCTACACACGCTTAGAACAGCTCTGGGAAATCCTGCCTAAACCCTTGTGTGTCCTCAGGATTAGCACTGAACTCTCTCCTGAAAGGGCCAGTGATCCCTCCTGTCTGCTTCAAACACAGAGCTGGGGTCAATGCTGCATGCATGGGGTCAGGAGGGGAGGGGGGCAGCAGCCCCTGGACCAGCTTAGCCGCTGAGGGGTGGGAGCAGGGAACCAGGGCTCAGGCCTGCAGGCAGATGTGCTCAGGGGGTGCCTGGAGCAGAAGAGCTGGTCTGTGCTCTGAGCACCCCCTTGTAGAGCTTGTGTTGATGGCGGGTGACTGTTGCTGCGTGTACTTGCTGAGTTTTAGTGCAAGGGCTGCGCCATGGGCTCAGGCAGCCTCACTACTGCAGTGACCCTCACTCACCACCCTCTGCTGCTTCTCTTGTAGGCCAACGTGGTCTGCGTGGTGTATGATGTCACCAAGGAGGCCACGATTGAGAAGGTAAGGGGGGGTACCACCAGAGTCCTGAGCAACAGTACCAGAGGGAAAGGGGTTTCCAGTTCTGGGTCCTTGCACTCTGCCCTGGCTTTTTGCTGTGGGTGGATGTTGGTGCCCCACAGCCTTGTGGAGGGGGTTTGGGGTTTTGAGACCCCTGTAAGCAGAGGCAGGCTGAGCACAGCCTAAGTGTGCTCCCATGCTGGCTGTTGTCCTCACGTGCTGTGGGACAAGGCTTGCTGGATCCTTCTGCTGGCATCCAGCATCCCTGGGGCAGCTGAGCCTGCTGGTGCAGGGGAGTGCTGGGAGTAGATGGCTGCAGGGATGTGCTGGGGCTGCACTGACAGGCTTTTCCCTGTGCTCACCTTCCAGATTCGCACAAAGTGGATCCCCATGGTGAACGGGGGAGCTGAAAAGGGCGCCAGGTAGCGTGTCTTGTGTGGTCTGTGTGTGCAGATCTGGGGGGTTACGGAGGCTGAGTGGTGCCCACCACCCTCACCTCCTCCTGTGGTTATGGAGGTCAGACCAGCTCTGTGGCTTGTGACATGACCACTTGTAGCTGAAGAATACAGGGACTTTTCTCCTTCATGGATCTAGCTGAGGTCTCCAGGAGAGGGTTCCTTCCCCACCTTGATCTCTTCTAAGCCAGGCAGGGAGAGGAGCCTGCAAAGGGAGACACAGATGCCTTAGTCTGTGTGTGGATTGCTTAGGCAGAAGGCTGCTGTGCTGGATTAAAAGCTCCTGAGCATATTGTTGCTCAGTGAAAGCGTAAGCAGGATCAGGCAGCCTGTTCTCCAGATGGATGCTCCCAGCTGCTCTAGACATTGCAGAGGAGGGGGGGTTGCTCCCAGCCTGCTACCCACAAGTACATGTGACTGGGGCAGCACTGGCCTCACTTGTGTTCTCTGACATTCCATCTCTTCCCAGGATCCCCATTATTTTAGTGGGAAACAAGTCTGACTTGCAGATGGGAAGCTCCATGGACGTCATCCTGCCCATCATGAACCAGTTTTCAGAGATTGAGACCTGCGTGGAGGTGAGGGAACTCCAGAGCTTTCCTGAGGGGTAGCAGCATTTATCTGGTGTGAGTCAGGGAGCCTTTGTGCTTGTGGAGATGATGTTGAGGCCTCCAATACAAGAGGGACGTGGGGCTGTTGGAGTGAGTCCAGAGGAGGACGTGGAGATGCTGCGAGGGCTGGAGCAGCTCTGCTCTGGAGCCAGGCTGAGAGAGCTGGGCTGGTTCAGCCTGGAGAAGAGAAGGCTCCTTAAGGGGAGGCAGCTTCTGGTGCCTACAGGGCCTACAAGAAAGCTGGAGAGGGGCTTTGGACAAGGGCCTGTTGGGACAGGACAAGGGGGAATGGCTTTAACCTGAGAGAGGGGCGACTGAAATGAGCTCTTAGGCAGAAGTTCTTCCCTGTGAGGGTGCTGAGGCTCTGGGACAGGGTGCCCAGAGAAGCTGTGGCTGCCCCATCCCTGGCAGTGTTCAAGGGCAGGTTGGACAGGGCTTGGAGCAGCCTGGTCTGGTGGAAGTTGTCCCTGCCTATGGCAGGGGGTTGGAACTGGATGAGCTTTAAGGTCCCTTCCCACCCAAACCAGTCTGGGATTCTATGAACTGCCTTGATAACCCTGCACTGCAGAAGTCACTGTCTGGATCTTGAGGGCCTGTGCTTTAGGCATTCTGTCCTTTGTCTTCCTTGCAGGGGGTGGCTGTCAGTGTCTGCCCACTCTGGCTCTTGCTGTAACTGATGTTGGAGCTATACACAGCCACTGTTGGCACTGGGGCTGTGGAACAGGCACAGCAAAGCCACAGCACAAGCAGGTTTCCCTCTTGTGAGCAGACATTGCTCTGTGCTTTGGTGCACAGTCTGTCTGGTTCAGGGAGCTTGTGTCCTCCCTCTGCTCTGCGTCACCAGCCCATTGCCTGCCCGCACTTACAGGGCTGTCTCTTCCTTTGAATCCTCAGTGCTCTGCCAAGAACCTTAAGAACATTTCTGAGCTCTTCTACTATGCCCAGAAAGCTGTGCTGCACCCCACTGCCCCCCTCTATGACCCAGAGGAGAAGCAGGTAAGGTCTGCTCAAAGCCCCTTGGAGGACCTCCTTGCCATCATAGTGCCCTAGCCTGGGGCTGTTTTTTTTTTTGCCTGGAGTGTTTGGGCCAATGCAGCTAAACCGAGGGGAAAGCACCCATCTCCTGTGCTCAGCACAGCCAGCTGAATATGGCCAGGCCAGTGAGAAGCCAGGAGCATGTTGGGGTAGAAGCCATTGTGCTCCAGGCCATGTTAGCCATGGTGGGAAAGGTCCAGGAGAAGACTCCCCCTGGAGCTGTGGTGCTGGCATAGCTGGACTGTGCTCCCAGCCAGCACAGGAAGGCAACCCCTCTGCACACGGGGTTTCAGGAGGCAGAGCCAGGCTGATGGTGTTGCCTTGTTTTTTGTCACCATGGTTGGTCCCTTGCAGCTGAAACCTGCATGTGCACGAGCACTGACACGGATTTTCAACCTCTCGGACCAGGATAACAACCAGATCCTTAGTGATGATGAACTCAACTACTTCCAGGTAGGGCTGGCTGCAGAGCTGAGATGATTCCCCAGCCCCTCATGGAAAGCCCTAGTGTCCCCTTTCCATCCAACACCAGGCAGAAAGGCAGACACAGCTGTCCTATTTGCATCCAGTACTTCTGTTGGCCAGCTGTAGCTAAAGCGCCTTAAGGTACATCTTGGAGCAGATGGGGATCCACAGGTCTTCCATCTTTGCTAAGCTTGGGCTGAATTTGCTCTGCAGTGGGGAGAGCAGGAGGCACTGGAGCTGTTGAGAGTCATGTATTACTGGGATGCTGAAGAGCAGGGGTTTGGTGAAGGTCCAAGGCAGGAATCCCTGGTCTGGGTGGATTTTCTCTCCTAGAAACTCCCATTCCCTTGCCAGGGGAGATAGTGGTGAGACAGAGGCTTGGGCTGTCTGAGTGCTTTGCTGACAATGACCTTCTTTCTCCTGGGAGGCAGAAATCCTGTTTTGGAAACCCATTGGCTCCCCAGGCCCTGGAGGATGTGAAGGTGGTTGTGTGTAAGAACACCACAGACGGGGTGCAGGACAACGGCCTGACCTTGAACGGTAACAGCACAGGAGCTCTGTGCCCTATCCCAGCAAGAGATGGGGACCCCCCTCCTTCACCACATTGTGAGGGGCCCTGACATTGGTCTGAGCCTCCCAGCTCTCATTCCAAGCATAGTTAGTCCCTCTTGTCAAAGCCTGCTCTGGCTACTAGAGCTCTCTGTCCAGCAGCCTGTTTTCCCAGGGAAAGCATGGTCCCAAGGAGTGGATCCCTGAGGCTGAGCCCCCACTGTGTCTGAGCCACCTGATCTCTCCTGCAGGCTTCCTCTTCCTCAACACGCTCTTCATTCAGAGGGGCCGGCACGAGACCACATGGACCATCCTCCGCCGCTTTGGGTACGACGATGAGCTGGAGCTGACAGATGACTACCTGTACCCACAGTGCGTATCCTGCCTGGGGTGGGGTGGCCAGGGTGTGACACCCCCGTGGTGCACAGCTTGAGCTCCCCAGCTCCTTTGCTGGCTCCTCCCCACACCCTGCTGCGTTCCTCAGCTGAGGCTGAATCCACACCCATAGCTCATGGTCAGGTTCATGCTCCTACATCTTACTCTGTGGGCAGGAGCTGACCAACGTGGGGTTGGCAATGAATATAATGGGCCTTGGAGCTGTTGGCTGTGCTGCTGGCTCTGATGTAGGCAGGCAGGGAGGTGGGGAATGAAGGCCTATCCCTGACTTCACATTAGCAAGGGGTTTTTGAAGGCTGCTCCATCTCTGCCTGAGCTCAGGCAGAACGGCTCTGTCAGGAGCAGTGAGCTGTCAGCATAGCCCTTCCGGCTGATTCTGCAGCTGCTGCCTCTTCTCTGCTCCCTGCCTCTCTGGAGGTGGTGATCCAGCAGTAATGAAAGGGTTTGGCTTGTGAGCTGCCTTGTCTGCTCCCCAGACAGCAGGCTGTGCAAGGAGGCAACAGGGTGCGTGCTGGTGGAAAGCACCCCGGGGGGAGTGTTGTGCCCTGCTGAAGCCTTGGGTGTGAGGCTCCACATCTCCCTGGCTGCTTGGGATGTGCTGAGGAGAGGCCGCTGTGCACCCATGAGGGCTTCTTCCCAAAACAAAGGGCTGTGGCAAGGAGCGGCCAGGCCTGGAGACAACTACTGGTCTTGAGCAGGGAGGGAGTGGGGAGCTCTGGATTGGCTGCAGACTTGCTCAAACTCTGCCCTTGGTTCAGAGCTCACAGAGGGTCACTTGGGTCTCCTCCAGGTTCCGGCTGCCCCCTGGCTGCTCCACGGAGCTCAACCACTTGGGCTACCAGTTCCTCCAGCGGCTGTTTGAGAAGCATGACAAGGTGGGCAGAGTGTGCTGGAGCTGCCTGGGACGGGGTGCTCTGCTGGGCCTGCACGTAGCTGCTCTCCTCTGCTCCAGGGAGCAGATGTAGCCTCAGTTGAAGGGCTTCCCTCTGCCACAACACTCCCTTCAAAGCTGCTTGCCCAGGCTTTGGGAGCAGGAAGTGGTCACAGCAAGTCTGATGGCATGTCAAGGGGTTGTGGTTGTAACCCTTGACCAAAGGACAGCCAGTAAAGTTTGTCCCTTCAGGGGCTGGGTCCAAGTTAACAAACTAGTGCCTGGCTGCAGCATGAAGGGAGGCAGGGAAGCAGGCAGAGCTGCTGGCCTGCAGCCACAGACCAAGCACAAGCGTTCACACAGCTGCCAACCCTATTGAGGGGGTGCCAGGCTGGAGAGGGAGAGAAAGCAACTAATCTGTGCCATGCTCTGGTTCTTTGGAGAGAGGGAGAAGGGAATGTGCTGGATCTGCTGTGCACCTGCACACAGTACTCAGATGTTGATGTGCACTGGGATACAGCAGCTCTGTGGCCACAGGGAATTGGAGCACTGAGCTGATGCATGTCCAAGTGTGCCCAATGCTGCAGATCCTGTGCTGGTGGCCACACGCAGACCTTGGGTGCTACCCTGCAGTGTTCAGGACCAGGCTGGACCAGTGCAGGCTGCTGTGGGGTGGCTGGCCCTGGGGAAGCCAGGAACAGCAGCTCAAGGCTGTGGGATTAATTTCTGTTATTGGAAGCATCCCTGTGTCATTACATAGCAGCGAGCAAGGTGGCTTGTGTCCTGGTGATGCTCTCTGGACCCTGTCAGTGCTTGGTGTGGCTGCAGAGAGCTGCTGGCACTGCACGGGCCATGTCCTCAGCTGCTGACTCCTCTTTTTCTCTCCAGGACCAGGATGGAGCCCTCTCACCCACAGAGCTGCAGAACTTCTTCAGCGTCTTCCCCTGCATGCCCTGGGGTCCTGAGCTCTACAATACGGTATGCACCACTGATAAAGGCCTGCTTTCCCTGCATGGATTCCTCTGCCAGTGGACGTAAGCTCAGTCCCTCTCCTTGCCTGTACTCACATCTCTTAGCCCTTGCTGATCCAGTTGGCTTCCTGGTGTGCTCCATCTCTGCAGGCTCATGGCTTACCTGGACGTGCGGCACTGCCTGGCGTGCCTGGGCTACCTGGGCTACCCTATCCTCTCGGAGCAGGACTCCCAGACACAGGCCCTCACGGGTACAGCCATGCCCTCCCCTCCTGTCACGGCTCAGGTTCCTGCTCTCACTCACCCAAGCTCTTTCCTGCCAGTGACCCGGGAGAAGAGGATTGACCTGGAGAAAGGCCAGACCCAGAGAAACGTCTTCCTCTGCAAGGTGCTGGGAGCCAGGGGAGCAGGCAAGTCTGCCTTCCTGCAGGCCTTCCTCGGCAGGAGCCTGGTGGTGAGTGCTGCTCCCCTTTTGAGAGGGGAGGCCCGGCGGAGAGCCCTGAGGCCCTTGAGCTGGCCAGATCTGCCCATGGCCAGATCCCAGCAAAGGGCTTCACACCCTGCTCCATGCTGGTTGCTGTGGCTCTTGAATCCTTAACTTTGGCAGTGGGCCCATCCCCTCTGCTTGTCCTAAGGGGCTGGAGGGGCTGTGCCTTTCCCAGGCAGCTGCACCTCCCATGTCTGGGCGAGGTGATGCTGGCTTGTCCTCCATTACAAACAGCCCCGTGTCTCATGCCAGGCACTGGCTGGCCTTCCAGTGGCTGTTACACCATGGGGACCTGGGGCAGTGTGAAATATTCTCCCTTCCTCAAGCTCTTGCTGCCAGCCCTCTGAGATGGTGTTTTCATGGCAGGCTCAGAAGGAGAAACCAGGAGAGCCATCCCTCTATGCCATCAACACAGTGCAGGTCAACGGCCAGGAGAAGTATCTTATAGTAAGTCAGGGAGAGGAGGGAAGGGCTGCTGTGCCTGTCTGGCAGCAGGGCTGGCATAGTACCTGGTGCTGGTGTTGGAAGTGGCCCATCCTGGTGACGCGGTGCTGTGCCACATGGCCTTTCCCTCCCACTCCAGCTATATGAGGTGAGCACCGACACGACGTTCCTGAAGCCATCAGACACAGCCTGTGATGTCGCCTGCTTCGTCTACGACCTGAGCGAGCCCAGGTCCTTCAGCTACTGTGCCAGTATTTATAAGGTAGGCGCAGGGGCCCTGGGGGCTTTCAGCCTCTGTGTAGCAGCCCCACATCTCCCAGGCTTGGTGGCTTACCCCTTGCTGGAACTTCTCCTTGTCTCTGCAGCAACACTACATGGACAGCCAGATCCCCTGTGTCTTTGTGGCCTCCAAGACAGACCTGCCAGAAGCGAGTCACCAGCCCGGCCTCTCCCCTGCTGAGTTCTGCTACAAGCACTGCCTCCCACCACCCTTCCTCTTCACCTGCCACAGCCAGGGGCCACCCAGCAGCGCTGTGTACACCAAGCTGGCAACCGCCGCCACCTTCCCGTTAGTATCCTTCCCATGGAGGGTGCTCCTGGGGGGGGGGGAGCAGAGCCTGTGGGGCTAGGAGGGGCTGTGTCCAAACCCTGCCTCTGCCACAATGCCTTGGGTTTGGTTTTTCTGCAAGCTTCTGGTGTCATCTGCTCATACAAAGTAATCAAAACCAAAAGGGCACTTTATTCCCTGCTTGGAGTGGGTGGCAGCTCTCTTCTGTCTTGTGTGTGTCTCTGGCAGATTTATTAGATAGATCCTGCCATGGAGGTTTTCTTTCTGAAGCCTGAGATGAAACTGCTGAAGGGGAGCAGCCAGCCTGGTTTGCCAAGGCCCACAGAGGGGGGTGGCAGCTATTTTCTCCCGATGAGGTGGATCAGACTGAAAAAAGAGGTCAGCAAAGCAAGACCTCTGTTCACACAGCCTCCCTTTGGGAAGGAACAGCACCTGAAAGGGGCTGGATAACAGGGCAGGACACGGCCAGGGACATTTGGGAAGGAGAAGGTGTGTGTGTGGCATCACCCTGCTTGAGGAGCAGAGGAGGGGGCTGACGGTCAGCTCAACACCGTGGGTAGAGCCCTCCCAGGGAGAGTGTGTGGGTGCCTTGGAAGCCAGGCTGGGATTACCAGTGAGTGGTTTTCCCTCCAGCTGCTTTTCAATAAACAACTTTATTTTTAGAGCTGACACTTCTTTTTATTTTTTTCCCCCCTCTGCAGTATTAAAATTTAAATATTCTTAATATATCTTAGGGTATGTGGGATAAATAAATAACAGCGTAATGGAGGGCCAGGGATTGGCTTTTCCCCCTCGATTTAGTGGGGAATGAATAATGGATATCTCTTTCCTCCTCGGAGAGGAGCATGTTGATGCTGGACAGCACATGTTTAGGAGGGGAATGTGTACACTGGGCATGATGGAGCCTTTTCTCCCTCCCTGCCCTTTGGTTGGTCTCTGCGTGCATCCACTCCTGGGTCTGTGTGCACTTGGAGTTGGGAAAGCAGCTTGACCTAGAAAGGCAGCTCCTACCTCATACCCGTTATTAGGGGTTGCTGTGCTATTTCCAGGATGGATAGAGCCACATCTGTCTCACCAGAGGGTTGATGATGATGCTGGGCTCTCCGGTGTGGCAGGGGAGGCTCTCGGTGCTTTCTGTCTCTGTCCCCAGCCTGGAGCTCGCTGTGGTTGCTCTCTGTCCTTCCCGGGACACCCCAACCTCACTGCATGGGGTGGAAGCACTCCAGGCTGTAGGGGATCTTGCTGTTGGACAGTGTTGCTGTGCACCTTCTCACCAGCCTCTCTCTTTCTTTGCAGTCACTTGAACGCCGTGGAGCTGGGAGCCGCGTCCTTCTGGCTGCGGGTGGCGCTGGGGGCTGCAGTGACAGCACTGGTGGGGTTCACACTCTACCGGGTTCTGGGCAAGAACAAATGAGGCCCCTGCAGCCCGTCCTAATGTGACACCAGCCTCCCCCTCCCCAGCACTGCCCCGAGGGGCCCTGCCTCAAGCTGGTTCCTGGTAGGAAATGCTCCTTTTCGCCCAGCCTGGATTGCAGGACCAGTAAAACCAGAGCTCCCGGCACCAGCAGAATCGATCCCCCAGCACCGGCCACCCTGACCCTGCCATCCTCATGGCCTCTGCCCAGCTGTTGTGCCGGGGCCAGGCAGCTCTGCCGGGGCTCTGCCTTGCTGACACAGGAGGGATCAGCCTCATCTTTTATTCTGTTAATATTTTTTAATGTTTTTAAGCTCAAACGTCAGTGTTTCAGTGTCTGGGGGGCCGGGCACATCCCTTCCCAGGGGGCTGGGGTGGTGCTCTCATTCTGGGGGGCAGCACTCCCAAAGCACTTCCAGCAGCAGCAGAGCCATACATTGGGCTCGTGGGTTCAGCCCCCGGGGTCACACCACTGTCCCCTGTCTCTCTGTCCCTCAGCCAGCCCTGGGAAAGGCAGACCCCCTGTGTTTTGGGGTTGGGATGCTGTGGCTGCAGCTCTTGCTGCAAGGGGAGGGAGTGAGCTCCAGGACTGTCCCAGGCTCCTTCTGTCTCTTCTTCCAGCACAAAACCACTCTGAGTCCTGCAGTGCACCAGGCTGCCAGCCCCTCTGCCCTCCATGAGGGCCTGGCACATGTCGGGACTCATCCTGCTGGCCCCATCGTGGGCCTCTGGGCCTGCTGCGGCTGTCTCCAAGCACAAAGCTCTGGGTGTTGCATCTCCTGGTGCAACTGGAAGCTGTTTTCTCCACTGTCCTTTGCCCTCACCGGTGTTAACGCTGTCACTTCAGCTCAGTGCAGATCTGGGGCCGGGGTCCAATAGCATCCCCATCTCCATGTCCCAAAGAGCGAGGCCAGCCCCTGTGCTCTCCTCAGCATCCCTGGGCTTCCAGCCTCCTGCAGGGAGTCTGGGTCAGCTCCTGCCTGCATGACCCCAGCTGCTGGACTGTGAGCACACTCAGGCCAGGTTTTGTAGCCAGCAGCTGCTGGGACAGCACCAAGGTCACTGCGAGAGCTGCTTTTTGCTGTTTTGTCTATTGAAACTCCTTGTCGGGGCCTGGAGCCGGCAAGGCAGGCATCTTCCCACTGCTGCCCATCCCAGCGCTGGCTGGAGCTGCTCTGCCATCGGGCTCTTGTTGCTGGCCTGGAGTTCCCATATCCCTTCCTCATGTGTGGCTGTTGGCCAGGCCTGTGTCCTGTGCTCTGACCCTGCTCCCAGCACCGGTCTGTGCCTGGCAAAGCCACACTTTTAGGTTTGTTCTCTACAGCGGAATAAAATTTTACACACCTTCCCCTTGCACAGCATGTCCTATGTGTCCTGGGGGGCAGGATGGAACTGGGGTGGGAGCAAGGACACCCCAAGGGGTGAGCTTTGGGGTTTGCTCCTGTTTGGAGCAGTTCCAGGGATTTAAGGCAGGCTGAAGCCTGGCCTGTGGGAGACAAGGCTATGTGTGTGTGTCCCAGGGGTGGGAGCCAGGGCATCCAGGAGTGCCAGGGCAAAGATGGGGAGCGGCACTGCTGTGGGGGACAGAGGAGGCAATGCCAAGGTGGATGGGACACGCGGTGCTCCCTGGTGAGTCCAAACCAGGCCTGGCCCCACGGGAGCAGCAGGTCCATTAATAGTGCCTATGTACTGGGTCTGTGTGCATGATCCCTAAGGAAGGAGCCTGGGAACTGACCCCCTGCTTGGCATTCTTGCCTGCACAGGGAAGCCCCATGGCAGGCAGGGCTATGAGGTACTGAGCTCCCTGAGCTGTGGCCCACGGGTGGCCATACTGGGATACTGGTACCCATATTGGAAGGGTGGTACCTGTGCTGGAATACTGGTACCTGTACTGGGATGCAGGTGCCAGGTGCCATATCAGGATACATATTTGTGTAGCAGGATGCGGGTGCTGTACTGGGATGCAGAAACATGTACCAAGATACAGGTACTATACCGGGGTGTGGGTACCCGTTCTGGGATGCAGGTATTGTACCAGGATGTGGGACTGTACTGGGATGTACATACCAGTGCTGGGATGCAAGTACGTATACTGCGATGTGGTAACTATACTGGGATGCGGGTACTACACTGGGATGTGAATACTGTACTGGGATGGAGGCACCATACCGGGATGCGGGTCCTGTGCTCGGATGCGAGTGCTGTACTGAGACGTGGATACCATTACCGGGTTGTAGGTGCCAGGACTGGATTGTGGGTACCCTACCGGGATGCAGGCACCGGCTGCGAGTGCCGGGAGCCCTCCCTCCCTCCCTGCTCCTTTCAGGGAGGGCCGCGGGGCGGGTCCCGGCTCCCGGCGGCGGGGGACCGTTGTGGGGGGGGCGCTGCGCCGCGCGCTGCGGTGGGGGCGGCTCCGCTCGGTTCCGCTCCCGCCCCCGCCGCCGCCGCCGCCCCGCTGCCACCGGCGGCTCCCGGAGCCGCCGCTGCCGCCCGCTCCCGGGCCCGCCGCAACGCGGGGCTGGCGGCGAGAGCCGCCCCCCCCGGAGCCCCCGCCGCCCGCGCCGCTCCCCTGCCCGGTTCGCCGGCCCCGGGCGCGGGGGAGCGGCGGAGCCCAACGCCCGCCGGGTGCATGGACAGGAGCTCCCTGCTGCAGCTCATCCAGGAGCAGGTGAGCGCGGGGGGAGCACGGAGAACCGCTCGCGGGTGGGGGGCGCCGGGCTCCGCTCGCGGTGGGAGGATGCTCGCCCGCACCGGGCAGCGCTGACCAAGGCTCCGGCAGGCACCGGGCAGCGCTGCCCGCCCAGGGCGGCTCCCGCGCCCGCTGAGCATCCCCCGGTGTCCCCAGCCCTGCCCCGGGGGACCGGACCCCCCTCCCCCTGTTACGCAGCTGAGACCGCGCAACTCAGCTCACTTGTGGCCTCCCCCTCGCCCCGGCGCTGCCCCGGGCTGGGTCCCGCCGGGTTCTCCCTCAAGGACGAGAGGTGCCGGGTCCCCCCAATCCCGCCGTGTGCCGAGCCCCGGCGCTGAGCGCAGGATCGGGCCCGGGGCTGTCGTGGAGCTGTGCCCCGCCTCGGTTGGGCTGGGGGGGCCGCATCCAGCCCCGTGACCTGATTGCGGGATCAGGCCGTGGAGCGTTGACGCCGCGCTGGGCTCCGCTGGGATGGGGGAATCAGCTCCCCCGGCGCTGGTACCCGGTGCCCCGAGGGTCCCCCCTTGTGCTTGGCCACCTCATCCCTCCCTCCCCGCCCTCCCTGGGCCAAACAGACGACTGCTCTGCCTTGGGGATGGGGAGGGAATTCATTGGGGGTCAGGAATATTAACGGCCCCCCTCACCCCCAACTGGCTCCGTGACCTTGGCCTTGTTCCCCAGCCCAGGAGCTGGGGTGCATCCCCCTTGTCACCCCAGCTTCACCATGAGAGCTCCAGGTGCCTCTGAGCCGTTCAGGGATGGGCAGCATCTTCCCAGTAGAGAGTGGGAATTGGGAGAGCCAGGAAGGGCTGGGGGGGGGGGCTGCAGAGTGGCTGCAGGGAGGCACTGGGGGGAGATGCACCCTAAAAGCAGAGAGGGGCTTCCTGGCTGCTGCTTGGGCTCGGGGGACCATCGAGCTCAGTGTGTGCCAGTGCATTGGGAAAGCATGTGCCAGGTCCCAGTGTGGCACATGCACGTGGCTCCTGTGGGGCGGCAGGGGGGCATGGGGGATGGGTGGCACCAGGGAGCTCCTGCGCCCCCAGCACCTCGGGGTGCTCTGAGGATGTAAGTGCTGCTTTTACCCCACATCCTGCACCCCACACACTGCACCCTGCATCCCACCTTGCACCCTGCATCCCACCTTGCACTCTGCATCCCACCCTGCACCCTGCATCCCACCCTGCATCCCACGCTGACCTCAGCAAGGCTTCAGATAGCTGTACCAGCCTTGGGAAAGAGGCTTTGGCTGTTCCCTGCCTGGAAAGGATGGTCTGCACATTGGGATGGAAGTGCAGTCCTGCCCATCCCATGAGGATGAGTTTCCTCGCCTGCATTTCATTTCCTACAGGAAAAAGGTTGAAACTCAGCACTCATTTCAGGGTGATGCTGCAGGGTGCAGGGTCCTGGCCATCCCCAGTCATAGGTGCCTTCTCCCATCTTCATCCTCCTTGTGCCACCCCACAAGTGGGACCACACTGGATGCTCAATGGTGCTGGGTACCAATGGTGCATGATGCCTGGAGGACACAGGATGCCCCGGCACAGGGTGCCTGGTGTGTTGTGTGCAGGAGGATGAGGAGGAGGCTGGTGCCAGGGCTGCGCGTGTGTTTAGCTTCGTGGCTTCCTGGCTGTCAGGCTGCTGGCGGCAAGAAATAACTGAGTGGGAGAGTATTGGCTGTGACACGGGGAGATGGATGGGGATGGGGATGCTGGCAGGGCACTGGGGCACCCACATGGCACCCACACCATGCAGGGTGCAGGCTGGGTGTGGGCTGTAGCCTCCTGCAAGAGAGACAGGGGCTGGTCGTGTTGTGAAGCAGCATATGAGACCTCCAGGCTTGAGGCCAGGATGAGAGGCACTGGGTGGTTTCCCCGGGCAATGAGGGAGCTGCATCCTGGTGATGCCTTGCTCTGTGCCCCACAGCTCGACCCCGAAAACACCGGCTTCATCGGGGTGGAGACATTTGCCAGCCTCGTGCACAGCCATGAGCTGCCCCTGGACCCCGCCAAGCTGGACATGCTGGTGGCCCTGGCGCAGGGCAACGACGAGGGGCAGGTCTGCTATCAGGAGCTGGTAGACCTGGTCAGTGCTGGGGGGGGGCACTGGGATGGTTTGGGCACCGGGCACCTCCTTGTGTCCCTGGGGATGGGGGCTGGCGGGTGCCAGTGTTCCTCAGGGGACTCCCCTGGCATGATGCAGTGATGGGGGGTCTTGCCTGGGCCGGGCTGCGGCGCAGGGCGGAGATGGGCAGGGGGTGGCCTGTCCCTGCAGATGAGCAGCAAGCGCTCGAGCAGCTTCAAGCGCGCCATTGCCAACGGGCAGCGTGCGCTGCCCCGCGACGTGCTGCTGGACGAAACCGGCCTCGGCTTCTACAAGCGCTTCGTGCGCTACGTGGCCTACGAGATCCTGCCCTGTGAGATGGACCGGCGCTGGTACTTCTACCAGCACCGCGCCTGCCCGCCCCCTGTCTTCATGGCAGCCGTCACCCTCACACAGGTACAGCAACCCTTGCGTGTGCAGGACGGGTGACCCTGGTTGTGATGTGCCAGTACCCATGGGGGGATCAGATCTGGCATGGAAGGTGTGGACGACCACACTTATGATGTCCTAGTGGCCATGGGGGCTCAGATCTGGAGGAGATGAGTGACCCCAGTTGTGATGTCTTGACGGCCATGGGGGGATCAGACCAACGGTGGAAGGGATGGGTGACCCCAGCTGTGATGTGTCAGTGCCCATGGGGGGCTCAAATCTGGCATGGAAGGGATGGGTGACCAGGTTGGGCTCAGAGCCACGGCAGAGGGCATGGGTGACTCCAGGACAGAGAAACAACGAGGGTGGTGGTCTCAGTAGTATGTCTGACGGTGGATGTGGGCTTTGGTGCAGATCATCGTGTTCCTCTGCTATGGGGCCCGGCTGAACAAGTGGGTGCTGCAGACCTACCACCCCGAGTACATGAAGAGCCCCCTGGTCTACCACCCAGGGCACCGCGCGCGCGCCTGGCGCTTCCTCACCTACATGTTCATGCACGTGGGGTACGTCCCTGCTGCCAGGGCGGACACAACAACGTGTCTGGGGGGTACACCCATGGGCTGAGGTGTCCCCTCCTGCGTTGCCTGCACAGGCTGGAGCAGCTGGGGTTCAACGCGCTCCTGCAGCTGATGATCGGGGTGCCCCTGGAGATGGTGCACGGCATCCTGCGCATCAGCTTCCTCTATCTGGCTGGGGTCCTGGCAGGTGGGTGTGTGGTACCTGGGGGTGTGGGGAGACAGGACTGTCCCCATCACCAGCCCCTGGGGAGATGCCCCCTGACGGGGATGCGGGGCTTGGCTCCTGACTGCTGGGTACCAGCAGCATCGCGTGCCCCAGGGAGGCATCACAGCCTGTGGTTGATTAATATGGACATGATTAATTAATGGCGTGGGGGAGGCCCTGCACTGATCCCTGCTGTGCCCACAGGCTCCCTCACCGTCTCCATCACGGACATGCGGGCGCCGCTGGTCGGGGGCTCAGGGGGGGTCTATGCGCTCTGCTCAGCACATCTCGCCAACGTTGTCATGGTCAGGCAGTGGGGGGGCACTGGGTGGTTGGAGGGCGGTGGGGTGGGATGACCTCGGGGAGGGGATACCATGGGGTGGGTGGCATTGGGTGTCATTGCAGGGTGGGTGACATGGTTGTGTAGATGATGCCTTCGGGTGGCATCACAAGGTGGGCACCATCATGTGGGTGTCATCTTGGGTTGAGTGTGGCTGAGAGAAGAGGGGACACTGGGGGGGATCCATGGGGCCAGGGCACAACTCTGTTGAGGCACACTGTCCCATAGTCCAGCCATCCATCTGTCCGTCCATCCATCCATCCATTCATCCATCCATCTCTCCACAGAACTGGGCTGGGATGCGTTGCCCCTACAAACTGCTGCGGATGGTGCTGGCGCTGGTGTGCAGTGAGTACTGGGGGCCAGGGTGGGCAATGTGGGGTGAGGGGATGTAGCATTGGGTGGGTTGGGCACTGTGGGGTGGAGGGTGCAGTGTGGGGCAGGGGGATACAGTGTGGATTGGAGGGTGCAGTGTGGGGCAGGGGGATACAGTGTGGATTGGAGGGTGCAGTGTGGGGCAGGGGATGCAGTGTGGGGCAGAGGGTGCAGTGTGGGGCAGGGGATGCAGTGTGGGGCAGAGGGTGCAGTGTGGGGCAGGGGATGCAGTGTGGGGCAGAGGGTGCAGTGGGGCAGGCAGCGCGTGTCGGGGCGCGCTGACCTCCGCCCGCAGTGAGCTCCGAGGTGGGCCGCGCCGTGTGGCTCCGGTTCTCGCCGCCGCTGCCCGCCGCGGGGCCGCAGCCCAGCTTCATGGCGCACTTGGCCGGGGCCATCGTGGGCATCAGCATGGGGCTGACGATCCTGCGCAGCTACGAGGAGAGCCTGCGGGAGCAGTGCGGCTGGTGGGTGCTGCTGCTCTCCTACGGCACCTTCCTCCTCTTCGCCGTCTTCTGGAACATCTTTGCCTACGACCTGCTGGGGGCACAGATCCCCCCCCCGCCATAACATTCTCCCCTAACCCCTTTATGTTGCTCCCCAAAAGCCCGCCGGAGGATGAAGAGGGGGGTTCACACGCGTGACATGGGGACAGGCCACCCCCCTGCCCGCCTGCCCCCTCGGTGCTAGCGAGCGCGATGCCCCCCCACCGCGGGCTGTGTCCACCCCATAACATACCCCATGGACCCCCCCATAGGCTGTGCCCGCCCCCTCACCCCAAGGATGCTCCAGCCCTGCCTCTGCATCGCCCCTCCCCGGGTGCCCGCAGGGCTCTGATGTGCCCCCAGGGATGGAGCTGAGCAGTGGGGACACCCCGCTTGCTCCTGTACCCCCTTTCCGGGGAAGGGGGGGGCTGAGCTTGACCCCCAGGACCTGCACTTTCACACCAAGGACTGGTGCCAAAATAGGAGCCATTTATTTTTCTATGCCAAAAAAACTATAAATAAGAGAAAAAAGAGAATAACGGGGGTGGGGGGGTGGGGGGGGGTGGGGTGGGGTGTGTGTGCAGCCGGAGGCGAATGGGCTGAGACCGGCACAACTCGTTTCAGCAGTGCCCCCCCACCCCCCCTCCCCCGCTTTGCTGCCACCACCCTCCCCGTGGCAGGGGCTCGCCCCGGGATGGGGTCTGGGGGGGGGGGGAGGCCCCCTCCGACCCCCCCCCCCTTCCCCAGTTCCCAATTCCCCCTTTCCGACCTTTTTGGAGTATAAATAAATATTTTGCACACTGCCGGGGTGCGTATTTGAAGGAGGAGGGCGGGGGGCCGAGGGTGCGCCCCCATCCCTGATGGATTCAGTGTGGGAACTGGAGCTGGAGGACCTGGGAAGCGGCGGGGGGAGGGTGGCTGCAGCCATGGCTGGGCACCGACACCCCCCACAAGCACCCAGACCTAAGCAGCCAACACCTCCCCTTTCTCCTGCACCCCCCATCTGCGCCACACCGCCTTTGTAGGCCCTCCCCGCTTCCCTTCACCCTCTCATCCAGCCCCCCACTCCATAGCCCCCATTCACCCCGCCACAGCCCCATAACCCTCATCCAGCCCCCCCAACCCAGCCGCCAAAGCTCACCCCGCCCAGCCGCCTCCCTTGTGGCCCCGCCCCTTCCCTTGCCCCGCCCCCTCCTCCTATTGATCACGCCCCTTCGCCTCTCGCGCCCCGCCCCTCTCCTGTGGTCCTGACCCCCGCAGAGGCCCCGCCCCCGCGCAGGCCCCGCCCCCGGAAGCGGCTCGGCGGCTGTCGCAGTGCGCGGCCGGAGCTCTCGCAGCCGCCGGCCCCGTCGGGCCGGGCCGGGCCGGGCGGTGCCATGAAGGGGAAGGAGGAGCGGGAGGGCGGTGCGGCGGGGGCCGGGGCAGCGGGGCCGGGCGCGGGGGGCGCGGGGGGCGGCGGCAGCCCCGAGAAGAGCCACAGCGCGCAGGAGCACAAGGAGCAGGGGAACCGGCTCTTCGGCGGACGCAAGTACCCCGAGGCCGCTGCCTGCTATGGTCGCGCCATCGTGAGTGTGTGCGGCACCCCCACCCGGGACGGGACAACCCCAGGACGGGCCCCCTCCGCCGCCGGGACACCTCCGAGCCTGGCCTGGGTCCTCCCGGGACGGGACCTGCCCCGGCCTGGATCCCCCCCCGTCCCATCCTTCCCTTCCCGTGAACGGCTCCCCCCAGGCCTGGCTTAGACAGCCCCGCCCTGGGCCTGGCTCCGGCCCCATCCGTGGGCGTGGGTACGCCGGCCTGCCCCGCTGCCACGCTCTGAACTGGACCCTCCGGTGGCCCCCCCCTACATCAGGCTGCCCCCCCCGGGGTGCTCCCAGGTCGGGCATGGGGCCAGGGGGGTGTCCCCAGACAGGGCTGCCCCATGGGGACTGCCCCCAAGTTGTCCCACATCCATCTCAGCAGCTCCCCCCAGGGTGCAAGCTGGTCACCACAGTGACAGCGTTGCGCAGCCGGCTCATCGAGTCACCCTGCTGTCACCCTGTTGTCACCATGTCTCACCCGTGCCAGCAGTTGCCATCTCTGGCCATGACATAAGTGTCTCTTTGCAGAACCGAAACCCCTTGGTGGCTGTGTACTACACGAACCGAGCCCTGTGCTACCTGAAGATGCAGCAGCACGACAAGGCACTGGCGGACTGCAAGCGAGCCCTGGAGCTCGACGGACAGTCGGTGAAGGCTCACTTCTTCCTGGGCCAGTGCCAGATGGAGATGGAAAACTATGACGAGGCCATCGCCAACCTGCAGCGAGGTGAGCAGGAATGCTGCCAGCACGCCCACTGTGCCCTGCGCTAGGAGGCAGCCAGGCATGGCAAGGGGGAAGCCAGATGCTGGCTCTGAGGCGCTCATTCTGCCCCTAGCCTACAACCTCGCCAAGGAGCAGCGGCTGAATTTCGGGGATGACATCCCCAGCGCGCTGCGCATCGCCAAGAAGAAGCGTTGGAACAGCATTGAGGAGAAGCGGATCAACCAGGAGAACGAGCTGCATTCCTACCTGACCAAGCTGATCATGGCGGAGAAGGAGAGGTAAGGTGCCAAGGGGCAGCACCCAGAAAGGCCTTTTTAGTGCCACAAAACACTGGGTCCTGGAGGCACCCAGAGCCCTGCTGCTGGGGCAGCAGCAGGGAAGGGAGTGGTGGTGTCCTTCCATCCTGTCCTGATGTCCCTGCTCTGTCCTAGGGAGCTGGCTGAGTGCAGGAAGACTCAGCAGGAAGAGAATGCTGACGAGAGCCGGAGCCGCGTTCAGCTAGCCAGCATCGAGGCCAAACATGTGAGTGTAGTGGTGGGGCTGCTTGTGGAGGCTGAGATAAGCTGGGGGACAGCCTGGAGGAGAGGCTGAATGGATTGCTCAGAGCAGCCTTCAGGTATCTGAAGGGGCCTGTAAGGATGCTGGAGAGGGATTTTTCATCAGGGACTGTAGTGACAGGACGAGGGGTAACGGGTTCAAACTAAAACAGGAGAAGTTCAGGTTAGATCTTATGCAGAAGTTCTTCCCTGTGAGGGTGCTGAGGCGCTGGCACAGGTTGCCCAGAGAAGCTGTGGCTGCCGCATCCCTGGCAGTGTTCAAGGCCAGGTTGGATGGGGCTGGGAGCAACCTGGTCTAGTGGAAGGTGTCCCTGCCCATGGCAGTGGGTTGGAACTGGATGAGCTTTAAGGTGCCTTCTAACCGAAACCATTCCGTAATTCTATGACATCCTTGCCTCATCCTCATGCTGTGGTCAAGGAAGCTGCAGGGCCATGCAGGCCAAAGTCAGGAGACCCAGGGGCAGAGCATGGCCTCTCAGCCTTTACTGTGTGGTTTGAGCTGCTGGTGCAGGGCTTTTGGATCCCCGTATGACACTGCCCCTGCTCTGTCACCTCAGGTCCCAGCCCTGCCTGTTTGTGCTCCCTCACATGCTGCTCCTGTTACTCTCCTGTTGTTGTTCCAGGGTTCTCAGCCACATGTGGGTCTGGGTGCTAGCATGGCGCCGGGCACTAATCCTGGGATAAAAATAGCCCCTCCTGGAAGGTTATTTTTAAGCTGGATCGCTCCTGCCCTGCGGTTCAGCCTGGCTGGGGCTGTGAAGGCAGAGGGGCCACCAGGACCTGCCACAGCACCCATGGGTGGGAGGCCTTGGGGCTGTCCTCTGGAGACCCCCATGCACCAGGGTCCCCTTCTCCTCAAGGCCTTCTCTTTCAGGACAAATACCTGTCAGACATGGACGAGCTCTTCTCTCAAGTGGATGAGAAGAGGAAGGTGAGCATGCCCCGGCCTGCGCTCCTGGCTGGAGCTGCTCGCCATAAACCTGCTTCAGTCCATGCTCCCACCTCTGCCACGTTCCTTTCTCCTCGCTCCGATCCAGCACAACCTCCCAGCCCTCTCTTTGATGCTGGTCTCCCCCAGCCCCTCCTGACCCAGCTCTGCTTCTCTCCAGAAGCGAGACATCCCCGACTACCTGTGTGGGAAGATCAGTTTTGAGCTGATGCGGGAGCCGTGCATCACGCCCAGTGGCATCACCTACGACAGGAAGGACATCGAGGAGCATCTCCAGGTACCACTGGGCTGGGAACACTGGGGGCTCCCCAAGTCCTGTCCTGCCTGGGCTTGAAGGCAGCTGCCTGCCCAGCCAAGGGCTCAGAAGCTTCCTTGGGCTTGGTCGCGAGTGCCTGCCCAGGCAGCTCCCTGGGGAGGCATTGGGACATGCAGGAAAGCAGCAGGCACTGCCCAAAGCGGAGGTGGCTATTGGCAGGGCCTTGGCACTATGGGAGGGGACTGTGCCTCTGTCCCATTCCTTCCTCCCCCGGCATGTTGTGCTGGATGCCCCGGGGCTGAGCACGCGGAGTAACTGGTTCACACGGAGGTGTCCTCCCCTGCAGCGTGTGGGGCACTTTGATCCGGTGACGCGGAGTCCCCTGACCCAGGACCAGCTGATCCCCAACCTCGCCATGAAGGAGGTGATCGACGCCTTCATCTCGGAGAATGGCTGGGTGGAGGATTACTGAGGGGCTGTGGTCCCGTGGCTGGCACCAGGCCTTAACTTGCTCTCTGGCTCTTCCCCCTCCGCTCTGGGTACCCAGAGGCCCGGCAGTGGCTGGGTGAGGGCACACTGTCACCACTTCCCCTTACTGAGGAGCTGCAGTGGCTGGGTGGGTGTGAAGGCTCCCCAGGCTCCCCTCTCCCCCAGCTTTTGTTGACCATGGAGAAGGCTGGCTCATCGCAGCGGCCTGGAAGATCTCATCATCATCTTCATCACCCAGAGAGCAGCGTTCCCCTCAGCTCCAGCAGCTGACAGTCCCCAAAGATCCCATCCTGCGCCAGGGAGGTGCTGTGAGGAGCTTGCCGGGGTGAGCGCCTGCTGCTGGTCTGGCCCCCTTCCCTCCCCATGTACGTAGTTGTTTCCTTCTCCAGCCTGGCCAGGGTTGAGTCCTGCTCTTCCCTGGAAACAGCCACTTGTGAGAGTGGCAAGGGACTCGCCTTGGCTTTTCCTGGGAAACAACAGCCCCCTCGGGCTGGTTTGGGCTGGCTCACGCTTCCCCTCAACCCACTGGGACCGTGGTTCCCTACAGACAACCACCCAAGTTAAAAAGTTCTTCCTTTTACTGAAATCCCTTTGACAAACAACAGAATAACCACCAGATCTGCACCCGACTGAGCCTCCAGGTGTTCAGGTGCTGCCGGGCTTCTGAGCACCTCTGGAAGTGGCAACTTCAGAAATATATATATGAAAATAAAATTACTTCAGCAATAAATGTGGAAAATCCAAAGCTGGAGTGGTTCATGGCAGACGACCAGGGAGAGCCTGGTCCGGGAGCCAGGGACTGTCCCCATGGGCTTAGGCTACTCCAGTGGCGGTGGGGATGGAGCAAAACACAAAGCACAACAGCAGAACAACTTTAATCCAAAGGGGAGGGAAAAGATCAGTAAAAACCAAAACTTGAGGCGCTTGGTCCCAACACCTGGTGGCTGCAGGAGCAGGAGGACAGGGATGTATCTCTGTGCTCCCAGCCTTATCCCA